TTTTCAAAAATTAAAAATTCATCCAATATTATGTCAGACAAATATATTAAAAATTGGTTTGTAACATTTTTAATTTCACAATGGCAAACAATTACAAACCAAGTTGAAAATTGCGGAGACAAACTAAAAGAATGCGATAAATTTTTCAATATTTGTCCGCCATATTGGATTGGACATTTTGAATTTTGAAAAACTAACATCGGATGTGTAATTAGCGACCCCAAAGTAACGAGTTTCAAACAAATCCGATCAATTTTGTAAATTTTAAAACTAGAAAAATTTTAGTGCGTCTCTGAGAGACTCAGTAGCATGACGCAAAGGGTTAAAATAACAATATTATTAAAATATTTATTAATTAAAATAGCGCAATAATTTAAATACAATTTCACAGATTTTAATCATGGCTGTATCAGATTTTGTAATATTTTTGCAAATTATTCATCTCATTACGTTCTGCACCTGCAGCAATACTTCTGAATTAAATGAGAAACAAAAATCGAGGAATGAAGAAATTGCACGTCTCACTGCTTTAGGAATGGTTGAGGCAGAATTGTTTTATGACTTAACGCACACAGAAAATTTTTATAAAAATTGTTCAAATAGATTAGAGAAGATGTCCATTACTCATAAAGAGATGAAATATTATGATGAAGAAAATGAGACGAACATATCTGATTCAGAATTGTTTCAAAAATTATATACAATTGTTACTAAATTATATAACGAGAATAATCTTTCATCTGTAATAAGTTTTGAAGATTGCTTTTCAATTGTTTATTACACTGATTCTGGCTCTCCTCAAATAATAGATGATACGGATGAAGGTAGACAAATGAGGAATGCTTTTTACAGATTAGCAATTGTACAATCCAAAGATCCAAAAAAATATCATCGTTCTATATTGTATCGAGGACAAAGCAAACCTAAAACGTGGTATGAAGAAAATTATGTTGTTAATAAAACGGAACAATTAATAAAATTTACTTCAACAACAACTAACGAAAGAGTAGCAATGCAATTCGCGGAAGCAAGAAAATTTGGAAATCCAGACATGATTGCAGAAGTTTGTAAATGGTATTTTCCAAAGCCATTTTTGAGTGCAAATATTGAAAACATATCTATTTCCACTTTTGAAGATGAAACAGTTTTGCTTCCGGAAACAAAATTTATTACTAATGAAAGGATTCCACTATTAGAGCGAGAATATTTATCTTACGGTGAAGAACCTTCTTCTATTGATATTAATTTAAGAATTAATGTAACTCATGCTGATGAAAATTTGACTCTATTTGAGCAACAGAAAAGAGTAATGATAAAAGTAAAGGAACTAAAAGATTCTGGTACGAAATTTTATGTCGACTGCGAAGATTAAAGGGCTAATTAAATTTAGGAAGTTAACAAGAAATAACGTTCATTAATATTTTTATAAGTTTTATTTCTGTGGAATTAATTTATACTGATGATTTTTCATTGGTTTGTTTTTGATTACAGTTTAGTATTTAATTTATAGAAATTTATTTATTCTTGTAAAAATTAAATTTTTTGTGTGCTGATAAAGAATATGTAATTTTTATTTGTCGAATAACATATGTCAATAATAAAAACTGTAAAACTAATTAAAATTTAACTGTGTTTTATTATCTTTAAAACATTTATAAAATCTTTAAAAAAAATAAACTAATTTTTTTTTTCTAAAATTATAATATTACATAAATTTTTTTTTAATAATAATAATAATTCTTTATTCTTTTCAATTTTTTTTAGCAATCCGTTTACGAGAGATATGAATTTTTCAAAATTTCAGAATTTGAAAGACTTATTTTAAAACGATTTATTCAATATTTTCAAAATACAAAGAATACAAAAACTTAATATCGCAATTAAATTTTGTTTATCACTATATCATTTTTTATTAACACATACAAAAATATTATTTTTATTCATGAAAAGAAAAATATCTTTCTCTTTTGCAATATTTAACAAATGCAATAAATAAATAAACACTGATAAATAATAATTATTATTAAAATAAAAATTTTTTCCTCAAAAGGAATAATTATATTTTGACTGTATTATATATATAGTAGGATAATTTTTGTTTATGAGCAATTCAATTTTGTTTTTGATAAGAATAAAGAGAAGTCTACTTTGAAAAGGTAATAATAATCTAAATGAAAAATTTTATTTCCCTAAAAGTACCTAAAATTAAAATAATTTTGCTCTATTTAGATGAAATTTTGCACACTTTTACTATTATGCTTTGGATTTGTCTTCTTAGCTATTAGTGGTCAACCCTGCAAACCTGAAAACAGCATTGTGAGTAATATATTTCGTTAATATAATTGTCGTTTTTATAAAAAAATTGTAACGTCTTAGAATAAAAAAAAAATTAAAATAAAAAAAAAGTTCTTATAACAAAAAAATGGCAAAAATTGAAGGGTCAATAATTTAAAAAAATTTAATAATTACCTGTTTTCTAGTGTTTCAACGACCGAGAATGCTGTCCTCTTCTCGTGTGTGATCCTTTTGATCGTAGATGCTATAGACGATTCGGTTGCCGAAATTATGGACAACATGTAAATGATCGTTTTCAAGAATTTAAAAAAAAAAAAATTTTTTTTCGAAAATATAACAACATTTTATAATAATATACACTTGGAAAAAAGATTTCTTTGATTCAAATTATTCTTTGATACAAAGAAAATTTATTTGTTTCAAACAAATTATCTTTGATTCAAAAAAAAAAAAATTTCTTCCTTTCAAAGAAATTTTTTATTTAATTCTTATAAATGTTTCTTTGATTCTATATCAATGTTAAAATTTCTTTGAAATTTTCTTTGAAACTAAAAAGCTTTTTTTTTGTTACAAAAAATATTATATAAAATTTAATTCTAAATTTATATTTTATATACAAATTTCTTAGTGTTTCGATCACTCATCTTGCTGTGCGCCTCTACGCTGTCATCGAACCCAAAGAAGATGTGTCAGATTTGAAGAAGACTGTCAAAGACAAGGAGAACTTGTAAGTTATTAAAACAAAAAAAAAATATAAAAAATCTATAACAAAATTATAGAGAAAAAAAATTAAATTACTTTATCTTTTCTTCAAGTGTATTAATGAAAGATGCTGTCCTGGTTTGTTATGCAGAAACAGCGTATGTGTTCGCTAATTTATTATTATTATGTATTAATGGAAAAAACGACTTGAAAAATTCATGAAAAGCAACTTTTTTTTCTTAACTTTCCTTTTATAGTTTTAAAAATATTTTGTTATTATTTACAATGTCCATGTGACGCATATACTGAAGAAAAGAGATATTTTCCTTTATTGTATGTCCCTTTCTTCAGAATATGCGTCACATATACATTTGAAATTATAATTTCTTCGCTTGTATACAATACTTTAAAAAAATTTTGATTTGTTGCAAACATTAAAAATAGCTATTTTTTCAATTCTGTAATTATTTTAGTGAAATAAAAATTTTGAAAAAGTAAAATAAAATCTGTAATAGTGGAAAAAAATTTTCTACGTGGGCTTGTTAGTTCTCCCGCTAACAGCTAGAGCGCGCTGTAGTATTTATCTCTCGCAAGAAAAACTGCAAACCTTTAGTATATAGATGGGACGCAGAAGAAGGGAAAAATTATCCTTCACTTTAGCATTGAATTACAAACACTTGGGTGTAGAAACATTTCTACTTTTTTTGCATCACGAAATGGAGAGCAATCAAATGTTTGGATTCAAAGTCTATTGCGATAGAAAAAAGCCAGCTCAAAGTGCTGAAAAGCCAAGTGGCAAAGTTTTGCACAACATTTGTAAAAGCTTGTTGAAAAAACAAGAGACTGCAAATGAAGTCAAAACTTTTGAATGTTTTGAGAGGATGAACATTAGGAATTAATTCCTTATATTTATAAATTCTCGAAACTTTTTTTTTTCTTTTTTTTTGGGGCGCAAGCCCACCTAATCTAATAAAACAGAAATTCTTTACCCTATTTCTTAGATTTGAATTTGTTTGCAAATAACTTTGAATCTTACTCGTCGTTATTGTGTTCGACTGAGATTTTTATTATATATTTAAAAATAGAAATATCATCTATAAAAATTTTAATAATTCAATGTTTTCAATTGATTTTTATTCGGCAGAATTTCTCTGAAATTTTTGGTAACAAATTTCAAAATTAAACCAATCAGAAATTTGTCAAAAAATTAAATTCAAAAAAATTGAAATTATCACAAATAAACATTCAGCTAAAAGAAAATTTTATCTAATGAAATTACCTATGTGTAAATCAAAAATTCTAACAAATAAATTTTATAGATAGTAAAACTTTTTTTTTCATAAATCTATTACAAACTCATTTTTAATTTTTTAAATTACTAAAAGAAATTTTTTTTAATAATCTTAAATTATTAATTAGTTATATAATAATTAAATAATAAGAGTATTTATTCTTTATATATATGTAAATAAAAATTAATAACAACTTTAGTAAAGAATATTAATTAATGTCATATTTTTTTTGGATAGTATTTTTACTCTCAGATATATTGAATAAAAAAATTGTAATTCAATTTACTAACTTTGACCAAAAAAAAAACAAAAAATTTTAATTATTATATTAAGTTTAAGAACGACCGATACCCCGACAAAATGTTCATTTTCTTAAATAAATTATTTACAGTTTTTCTGAAAATTTTAAATTCACATGAATAAATTAGTACATTAATGAAATATTTCCTTTCTTACCGTGTGTCAAATGCTAATTCGAAAAAAGAGAATTTGTCTAAAAAATAAATATGTCTAATAAAATTTTTTAAATTGAAAATTCTGGTAATTAACTTTTATGAGAAATTGATTTCAATTGCAACATGTAGTAAAAGTTATTATTATTATTATTATTTAAAAAAAACTATGTAACATTATAATTTTAGAAAAAAAAATTAGTTTATTTTTTTTAAAGATTTTATAAATGTTTTAAAGATAATAAAACACAGTTAAATCTTAATTAGTTTCATAATTTTTATTATTGATATATGTTATTCGACAAATAAAAATTACATATTCTTTATCAGCACACAAAAAATTTAATTTTTACAAGAATAAATAAATTTCTATAAATTAAATACTAAACTGTAATCAAAAGCAAACCAATGAAAAATCATAAGTATAAATTAATTCCACAGAAATAAAACTTACAATAATATTAATGAACGTTATTTCTTGTTAACTTCCTAAATTTAATAGCCCTTTAATCTTCACAGTCGACATAAAATTTCGTACCAGAATCTTTTAGTTCTTTTAATTTTATCATTACTTTTTTCTGTTGCTCAAATATACTCAAATTTTCATCAGCATGAGTTACATTTATTCTTAAATTAATATCAACAAGTTCTTCACCGTAGGATAAATATTCTTGATTTAATACCGGAATCCTTTCATTAGTAATAAATCTTGTTTCTGGAAGAAGAACTGTTTCTTGTTCAAAAGGGGAAAGAGATATGTTTTCAATATTTGCATTCAAAAATGGCTTTGGAAAATGCCATTTAGAAACTTCTGCAGTCATATTTATACTTCCATTTTTTCCCCCTTCCGCGTAGTACATTGCTACTCTTTCTTCGGTTGTTGTTGAAGTAAATTTTATTAATTGTTCCGTTTTATTAACAACATAATTTTCTTCATACCACATGTTGGGTTTGCTTTGTCCTCGATACAATATAGAACGATGATATTTTTTTGGATCTTTGGATTGTATAATTGCTAATCTGTAAATAGCATTTCTCATTCGTCTACCTTCATCTGTATCATATTTTATTTGAGAAGAGCCATAATCAGTATAATGAAAAATTGAAAAGGAATCTTCAAAACTTATTACAGATGAGAAATTATTCTCTTTATATGTTTCAGTGACAAGAGTATAAAATTTTTTAAACCATTCTGGATCAGATGAATGATGCTTCATCTCTTCATGCAAAATGGACATCTTCTCTAATCTATTTGAACAATTTTTATAAAAATTTTCTGTGTGCGTTAAGTCATAAAACAATTCTGCCTCAACCATTCCTAAAGCAGTGAGACGATAAAAATCTGTGAAATTGTATTTAAATTATTGCGCCATTTTAATTAAAATAAATAAATTTTAATAATATTGTTATTTTAATGATAGAACGTCCAACAGCCTTCCGGCAGGATGAAAAAGACTCACATGAGTCCCTCCGAAATCGCTTTATAAAATTAACATGGATTCAGATAATCCAAAAGTAAAATATATCGTTGGAAAGGTAAAAACACAAGCTTTTAGCGCATATAAACATAATGTTTGTAAATTAAAATCCCTAGGCTAGGGAATTCAAAGGAAAAGGACGTTTTTATAGGGTTTTTTTGACAAATCCAAAAAAATATTTAAACTGAATTTTTTTTTAAAATAAACTATCACATTTTATTCTTTGAAGACTTCAGAAGAAAATGAGAGTAGTTAGACTGAAAAATATTGGTTTTTGTAGATTTTACAGTGAATTTACGAAAAACTGTTTTTTTGGCTTGTAGCAAACATGCAATGTTTGAAGGCTTCGAAACATGGTTTAATATTATTTTTTTTTAAAGTCGAACGCATGAATTTTCTCGTTTTTACGTCTACTTTAATAGGAAAAGGTGGAAAAAAAAATTTTGAGTTCCCTTTTTACCACCCTCATATATATATATATAGGGCCATCCAAAAAAGCCTTCCGGCAGGACGGGCGCTTGGACGTTCTATCATTAACCCTTTGCCTCAGGCTTCTGAGTCTCTCAGACGCACTAAAATTTTTCTAGTTTTAAAATTTACAAAATTGATCGGATTTGTTTGAAACTCGTTACTTTGGGGTCGCTAATTACACATCCGATGTTAGTTTTTCAAAATTTAAAATGGCCAATCCAATATGGCGGACAAATATTGAAAAATTTATCGCATTCTTTTAGTTTGTCTCCGCAATTTTCAACTTGGTTTGTAATTGTTTGCCATTGTGAAATTAAAAATGTTACAAACCAATTTTTAATATATTTGTCTGACATAATATTGGATGAATTTTTAATTTTTGAAAACTGACTTTAGAGATGTATAAGCAACAAATCAGAAAACTCTAAATAACAAATTTCAGAGGAATTTTGAAAAATCAACATCGGATTCGTAATCAGCGACCCTGAAAACCCCTCAAGTAACGAGTTTCAAACGAATAATAATTAAAATAATAATAAACAATGTATAAGTAAAAAATAGGATTTGCAAGAATATTATTAACAATTAAAAAGAGTATCAGACAATTGAGCCTGGCAAAACAAATTATCGTATCGCAGTTCATTATTTTAAATTTAAAGATTGTGTTTTCAGGTTTTAGTCAATGTTAAAATTAAAATAAATTATTAAAATACAAGCGAATGATAGGTTATTTCTATAGTTACCTTCTGTCTTATTCTTATTTAGACTTCTTTAGTTTTACTTTGTTTTTAATACAAAATTTCGACAATTTATAAACTGCTCACAGCAGGTAGATAACACAGTGAAATAATAAAAAAAGCTATTAAGTTGAAAAATAAATTTTTTGTGTTCATTTCATGCACACTTTACTTCGGCATGGAGATATGGAGTCTATAGAATATATATAGATGCAGTATATTAAAACTTTAGATTATAATTTAATAACTAAGCCGCATATCAAAAGCCACGTTTATAGTAATTTTTTAAAATTTTTAATATATAAAATTAAAAAAAAAACGGGAATCATTTGGAATAAAACGTTTTTCTTTCGCTCTTTAAAGATTTTATTTTTCAAATAAGACTTAAAATGAATAAAAAAAAAAAGAAAAATTCAATAAAATAATAATAACATTTGTTTTTTTTTCCACTGGCAAAAAAGTATGTAAATTTTCGACAAATACATTTATTGTATAAAAATTGGACGTAAAACGTAATATACAAATAAGTAGATTCTGTCACTATATTTTATTGTTTTCGAATCTAATTTAAATTACAGACAACATTGAAACGTAGCTTAAAAAAAAAAAAATAAATAAAAATAATTTTTTTTTTTTTTTGTAAGTCACACGTCGTTTATTGTTGTGCATCATCTTCGTTTTGGATCTGAATTTCTCCTAGTATTTTTTTTTAAGGAAAATTTATTTTATTATATATTTATTTATATTTTAAAACATATTACATTGAAAAAAAAATTTTTTGTTTAAGGAAATAAATAAAATTTAAGTAAAAATAAAAATACTAAAATTCTTTTTAAATAGAAAACAAAAATTATTTTATTTCTTATAAAAAAATAGAAGTAAAAATAATAATTGAAAATTCCTACAAAATAAAATAGATTTAAAAAAAAAAAATGTAAAACTTTTTCATGAAATAGAAAAAATTGAACAATAAAAAATACAAGAAAAAAAATTGGGAAACAAAATTATTTATTAAAAAAAAAATTCAATTTCATTTTTAGAAAATAATTTTATTTTTAGTATAAAAAAAAGGATATTGTTTATCTCTGGTTTCTCGGCCTTCTCGTTCGTGTCTTTCCTTAGTAGTGTAAGGTGATTTTTCCTGCAATTTGGAAATAAATTTTTATTTAAAAAAAAAAAAATAAATAACAAAATAAAATAAAAAATTAAATTCAACTCTTAAAATTTGCTTAAAAATAACATATTTATTAAATATCTCGTTAAAAATTTATCATTCTTGCCTTTTTCGCTCTATTGCCGAATTATTCGTCTTTTCAATGAACCGGTCAGCGACGTCTTTAATAACTAGGAAGTGGTTCGATTAAAAATTAGATTTTTATTTCCCAAAAAACAAATGACAATGTCAATTATATGAAATTATTTTTCTTTATTTTTTCTCGATAATATGTGAACTTTATTGATTCCGTGCCACACAATTCGCTGCTAATAAAAAAAAAAAAAAAAAACGTTCTACAAACTTTTATTAGATTTTGTTCAATTTTTTTTTTTAATATTCTCGAAAATTAATACTAAAATCGTAAATTTTTTTTTTCTCTAATAAAACACAATTCTCTCATAATCAGTCAAATATAAACGATTTATGTCTAAACTTTTTAGATTTGTAAAATTTTTCACCGATATTTATTTAAAAACCAAATTTTTTAAAATAAATTTTTAATCTTAAATTTTATTTTCAAATTAACAAAATTCACGATTTTGTTTTTGTAAAAATTAATTTAAAATAGATTACTTCTCGTATTTCGTTTTCTTTTGGAGTTAATTGCAAAAAAATAATTGTCCCATTTGAAATAAATAAATTCAATAGAAAAATAAATTTACAAATATTAGATAAAAAAATAAAGTTGAAATTGGAAAATAAATTGGAATTTCAAGGGAAAGAGGAAAGTAAAAAGTTAACTTTTTTTTCAAAAAGAAAAAAATAAAAAATCGTAAGGACGAATTGTGTGGATGGGATAAAATAAAAAACACAGGAATATAAATTTTAAAAATAGGAATAAAAAACAATAATTGAAATAAATTAAATAGAAAATAATTCTGAAAGAATAATAATAATAATAATAATAATAATAATAATAATAATAAATAAAAAGATAACACTAACCTTACTGTAATGATGTTTTTCCCGATGTTCTGGAATATCTCCATTTTGATGAGTTGTTTTCGCTAAAAAAAAAAAAAAAAACATTTCGAAAAATTTATATATTTTATTTTTCAATGATTTTTGGTCTTTTTTTAATAATAAGAAAAACAAATAAAACCTAATATTACTTTTTTATTGAAATAATAGTTTTAAAAACCGATTTATTTAATTCAAACAAAAATAAAAATTTCTAATGATAAATAATAATAACAATAATAATAAATTAATAATTAAATAATAATAAAAAAAATTTCATTAATATTAAAAACTTACGAAAAAAAAATTTACTAACCTCGTTCATCGTCTTTTCGGCGTTTTTGTTCGGCTGGAACAATATCTTCAGCTCGATCCTTCAATGTGAGATTAAAATTTTATTTCACAAATTTTAATCAATTAAAATTCAAAAATAAATGTAGAATAAAAATTTGAAAATAAGTTATGAAAGAATTTATATTTAAAATTTATAAATATAAATTTAAAAAAAATACAACTCAGAAACAATTTTACATTTGGAAAAAAAAAATTTTTTTTCTAAATTCAAAAAACTGCAAATTTTATACCATTTAAGGAATTGAGAATTAAAAAAAAAAAAAAACAAAAAATTTCTTACCCTCTTGCGACCAATTTTCTTTTCTCTCCGCATTTCCTTTTGTTCGTCTCGAATTTTGGTTTTACTAGAACGTTCCTTTTTTTCGACGGACAATTCAGTTCGTCTAGTTTCCTGAAAAAAAATTTAAATAACACAGATTTTAATTTTAATTCAAAATTATATATTTTTAATTATTTGTCATTTTTTTGTTATATTCTCATCATATAAGAATGTATTTTTTTCTAATATAGAGAAAAAAAATAATATTCACCTTTAATACAGAACTTTCGGCTTTTCTTCGCTTTGGTTCCGGCATTATAACTAAATGAACAAAATAAAATTTAATTAAAATTTGAAACAAAAAATTTGCTTAAAATAGATAAATTATATTAATTTACAAATTGTTAATAAGGAATACAAAAGGAAATTTTTAATGTCTGTAAAAGTGTAATTGTTAAATACTAAATTAAAAAATAATCTAATAGATTCTGTTACTTTTCTACCTTTTTCAGTTACTTCTTGAGATGGACCAGAACTGCCGCTACTGTTCGAAACACTCGACAAGTCTCGATCTAAATTATCCATACTACTATTGTAGTAATCATCTTGCGACTGAAATTCGAAATTTTACTTTATTTAATTCGATTTTCATAAACATAATACAAAATAAATAAAAGTAAATAATAAAATAATAAATAAATAAAAATAAATATTATTAATTTAATATTTTATTATTTATTAATATCAACGTTAAGAAAAAAAAAATCCGTAAATATAATAGTAAACTAATTTTATGAATATTTTTAAAAAAATGTACTTTTTTTTTTAAATATTACAACGTAAATAAATATAATTTATGAATACAAAGAAATAAAAAATTCACAAACCTTGTGTTTTCTTTCTTTTTTCTCAACAATCGGTTCTTCCTCTTTTATTTCCTCTTTTTCCTTTTTCAATTTTCTTTCCTCCTTCGTTTCCTGAATATCTTTACTCTCTTCTTTTTTCTTTGAACTTTCCTTTGGAACTTTTTCTACATTTTCACTGCTAAATAATCCAAAGTACAACAATCAAAATACTGACAAATAAATATATAGAATGTAAAAAGAAAAAGTTTTTTTTTCCAAAACAAAAATTACGTATAGAAAAAAAAATTAATTTCAAAAAACTGCAAATACAATTTAATATTATAACTGAATTTGAAATTTCATAAATCTAATTTAATAAAATTGAATTAAAAAAAAAGACTTACTGGTGAATTTGAATGATATTACGTTTTTCTCGAATCTCTTTATTTTCCTTTTCAACTCGTGCTTCACCATTTGAAACTTCTTTTTGTAAAACTCCATTACTAACTTTTTCTGATTCGGGAGTCGATTGCTCTTGAGTTTTAGCGACCTTTAACGAAAAATTTAATAAATACTCAAGACAGGATTGAAATAAAATTTACTAAATCAAACAAAAAATAATAAATATAAATAATAAAAAAATATTTCCTATTTTGTGACAAAAATTTACAAAATTGGCAAAAATTAATTAACAAAAAATATATTTTCTACTTTGTGATAAATTAAAATTTTATTTCTTTAATATAATATTTCTCGAACCAAAAAGAATAAATAATACAATTTTAAATTAAAATTTGGAATTTAATTTTTAAATTCTTTTATGCCCGTGTGGAAAAAGCCACGATCTTGCCCTCAAGAGTTCGGGGCCCCCGGCGGGGGCCCATGAGGGCTGATCCATATGGCGAATCCATGAGGGGCACCGTAGGGGCCCCGCATGGATCGCCCTCATGATCGATTAGCAAAATTTTCTAAGTCCAAAAATCAAATATTTTTTTATCACCAAAAAATTAATGTTTATAATGATTCACAACAATGAAAAACGCGTTTTTAATTAAAATATATTTTCACTTTTTTTGAAAATAACACTCACACTTATGGCGAATCCATGAGGGGCACCGTAGGGGCCCCGCATGGATCGCCCTCATGATCGATTAGCAAAATTTTCTAAGTCCAAAAATCAAATATTTTTTTATCACCAAAAAATTAATGTTTATAATGATTCAGAACCACGAAAAACGCGTTTTTAATAAAAATATATTTACACTTTTTTGAAAATAACACTCACACTTATGGCAAAATAGATGAGGGCCACCGTAGGGGCCCGCATGGATCGCCCTCATGATCGATTAGCAAAATTTTCTAAGTCCAAAAATCAAATATTTTTTTATCAACAAAAAATGAATGTTTCCAATGATTTAAAACAACGAAAAACGCGTTTTTAATAAAAATATATTTACACTTTTTTGAAAATTCGCCTGAGATGATTCATGATAATAATCATAAAGCATATAATTAATTATATTTTATAAATTGCATTTGATTGGAAAATATAATTTAATATCTTAACTTTAACTAAATGATGTTAAGCACTTTTCTTTGTTAGGTATTTTTGAAGTTTAAATAGCATCAAGAAGTTAGCATTCGTTTTGAAGTAGCGTACGTAGCGTAGTTGGTAAAGCGTTAGACTCATAGTCCGTAGGTCGTAGGTTCGATTCCCCCCATGCGTTAGATTTATTTATTTCTCAGGTTTGCGTTTAATCATTAATTCTATGTATGAATTAATTGAAAAATGAAAATATCCGTTAATAGTATGCATAAATTAAATATTTTTTAATTTTTTAATTAATTAATTTATTATTACTTTTAATTATATCCGACAGTTAATTAATTAGAACGTTAATTAATAAATTGAATTTGAGTAAGAATTTAATTTAAAATTGAATAATTATTAAATAAATATGTTATTTATTCATAACTTAAGCTTATTTATTATTAATTAACTTTTATTATTAATATTATTGATTAAAAAACATTATGGCAAACTTGAGGGCAAGATGAGGGCAAACGTGAGGGCCCATAAGGGCGCCCGCAGGGGCACCCTCATGGATCGCCCATGCGGGCGCCCTCATCGATGAGCATGTCGTTTCCATGAGGGGCCCCTATGGATCATCCATATGCGGCCCTCATGGCATGAGGGCGATCCATAAGGGCCCCCGCTGGGGGCCCACATCACTTTTCCACACGGGTGTATATAAAAACAAAATTCATTTAAAAAGAAATTTTTTTTTTAAATTTTAATTTAAAACAAAAAAAGCAATAAATAAAAATTTTATTCACACCAACCTTTTCGCCGACATGATGAAAATCAGATTCACGAATCATACTTGGTGTTTTTGCTTTAAGTTGTCCACTGTAGGAAGTGGCCAATACATGTAAATCTTGTCGTTGACCACGTTCTTCCTCGCGAACTTTTTCAACTTTACGCTCGAGAATTTGAGAAAGTTTCGATAAAACAGGAAAATGAGGTAAAATTTTAATCAGAATTATCAATGAATTTCTGATTTGTACATAATCCTTTGAATCGAGGCAAACAACAATAGCCTAAAATCGGGCGAGGAAAAAAATATTACAAAAATTAATATATGATTAAAATTAAAATAATATTAAAAACAAAATAATAGTAATATTAATAATAAAAATAATAATTACCTTTGTAATTTTATAATGCCACTTGTGACAAACGTGTCTGTAATTCTCAAAGCCAACCATATCATTGGCTTCGGAAAATTGATTACTAACTCGGAATTTTGTTACGAATCCCGGATAATTACTACATTCCTATAAAAAAAATTCTACCTTAAAAAATATTCGTATAGAAAATTTTATAATGTACAATTTTTATTTAAACCCAATTTTATTTATTTGCTTTTATAATTATAAAAGTTTATTATTATAATATAGAATTGCCCCTTAACCGATTTTTCTGCAATGACAAATTATCTAATTCCCACTAAATTTTCATTTGAAATTTTTTTGGAAGATTCAGTTACACAATTTTCAAAAAGAAATATTTTTAGCAAAAAATTTGTTAATTATTATCTGATTTTTATCCAATTTTTACCAATAATAGCTCATTTTGCCCTTTGAAAGATTTTCTAAATTCGTTAAATTTTGTTAATAATATTTTGTTCGAAACAATTATTTAAAAAATAAAATTTTCATTTTTTACATTTTTTTTTAAATCAAATATTATTTAACAAAGACAGTTAGTGTGAGAAAAATATATTATGGTTCTAAAATGTTCAATTAATTGCATTTTTCAGAATTTCATAAAATTTTAATTATACTTTTATTTGTTGTTAAAAATAATTTTTTAGTATGAGGTTATGTTAATGTTTTATGTCTTTTTAAAATTTATTTACTTAATATTTAAAAAAGAGAAAAAATTATGCGACATTATATTTTATTTGAGATATTTATTTTCAAAGGCAAAAAGAGTGGTCGTAGTCGTTACTACAGTTGTGAAATTATTTTCACTAAAGGGAAGGGAAGAGTAGAGGGCGCTGCCCTTTTTTTTACTCTAGTCACTTATTGTGACTCAGATATGTATATTACTCTATACATAATATTTATTTTGTGTACTCACTATATATTTCATATATAGTATATCAATGTACATTTTTATTAACTATATATTCAATTATATAAGTCAATTATCTGGGATAATTGACTGCACAAGGATACCTGAGAAACATCAGACCACTCTATAAATGTTGCTTTGAGTTATCCTTATATATTCAATCTAATGTTCATAACACCGCTTGCGAGAAACATGAATTTTAAGCCCATACTAAATAATTACTATTTATCAATAAATTCATCAAAATTTTGTGAAAATAATTGACCTTAGGTGTTAAGAAGAGAAATATCACGATTTTACATTATTTGAACGAATATTTATTTAAAAAATAAAATTTTTATTTCTCAACTTTTCTCACTAGCAACGCTTTCTGAACCCTAGCGGAGAGATTTGGAAGTTTGGAAAATTTGCCAAGTTGATATTTGTTTTTAATAGTCAGTAAAATTGTACTATTTAGTATTTAGATTTTTGTTTTCAAAGGGCTTTTCAAAATTGTTAATAACTTTGATGTTATTAACAAATTGAATAATGATAATTTTTTCCAAATTAAAAAAATCTGCTAAAATATTGTTTTTAAAAAATACCCTCTACAAAAATTATTAAAAATCGATTAAATTTTATGAAAAAAGGGATTTTTTAAATTATAAATTAAGCATTCTTTTTACAAACAATTACAATATAAATACAATATTTGTAAATAATTTTTGTTTATTGTTATTTACCATGAAGATCATCGAATTTTTTTTTTGTTTTGTTTAATAAATATTTAATTATCTCATAATTCATTGCTCCGCGCGTCATAAAATAATTAAACATTTATTTATCGAAAAAGAAAAATAACATTTAGCAGGTGTTTTTAAACCACTTTGAATATTAATTAAAAAAAAAAGAAAATCAATTATGGTATAAATAATTAAAAAAACAAAATTGTTTATTAAAGAAAAAATTAACGTTCATTAACTTGTAATTTAAAAAACTTTTTTTTATACAATTTTATATCGATATAAAAGTTATAAACTTATTATATATTTACTTATTGTAACTTTTTATTAATAGCTTGTTTTATTTCAAATGATATTTATAAGATTTTAATAAATAAATTCCAAATTTTGATAAAATTTAGTATCATTTAATTAATGAATTAAATATGTTTCATTAACTTTTAATATTTTTTGACATAGAAAGTTATTAAAATTTCGCTTTTTATATTTCCCACGATTTGAAAATACTATTTATAAAATTTGATATTTATTTTCTTGTCGTGTACTAAATTTAGAAATAATTGCAATAATTTCTTATTTTTCGAAAATTAAGTCTTAAAATTATATTCGAAAAATCTTTAAATTCTACTTGAACAAAACTTTTCATACTTGGAAAATAAAATCAGTTTGTTAGGAAAAATTTTAGTTATTAAAATTATTTCAGATTTTTATGAAAAACTGTAAGTGGCATTTTTTTTTAAAGATTATTTTCAAAAAAGCGACGATTATCAAAAAATTATTAACTCTAAAAATAATTTAAAAAATTAAATAAATTCTCTACCTTATCGAAGATTGCCTTCTCTGAATGCCATCTCATCACAGTATCTAACATAGCGCACAAAAATCTACCATAACGATTAGCTTCGTTTTCAGTGCACGATGTCACTGAATAAGTGATATCACAGAAAATCTGAAAATTAACAAAAAACAAACATTCTTTTTTTTTGTCAATTCAAGTTCAATTCTTTTGATTCAATTAATCAAAAAGAAAGAATAATTATGAATTTATCACTCGGTGGTATTTTAATAATTAAAAAGACATTTTATCAAACATTCCGAGCCAAAGTTTTTTTTTGGTTTTTTTAAGGAGAAACATTATTTAAAACATTATTTAGAAATAATAATTTAAAACTTAGGAAAATATAGATAAAATATTAAAAGATGAAAACAAATAAAGTTTTACTATTTTTTGAAGGAATTAAAAATTTTTTTTTAAGAAAATGAATAACTAGAAAATTCTATTAAGAAAAAGAATTAAAAATTTATTTTCTTTTTTTGATGAAAAAATAGTAAAAAATTTACACTTACTCGGTCGTAGCAAAGAAGAGTAGAAAAATTCGCGGTCCTTAGCGAATGAATAGTATGTACAAATTTAGCGCAATACATTGCGTCAACAGTTGTAAAAGTACATCGTGGAAAAAGACATAATTGCAAAAATTGCGTTATCGTCTCATTCTTTGCGGATTTAGCGCTTCTCGATAAAAACCACGAGTCCTTTTCTTGTCTATAAAGAAAAGTATATCAAAAAATTTATTTAATTTAAAATCAATTTTTGTAACATTTATTTTATTGTAAATTTATTTATTTTTAAATCTATTTAATTGAAAATTTATTTCATTAAAAATGTATTTTTTTTAAAAAATAAGGAAAATTACCTTAAATAGGCGAAAACTTTTTCCACGTGTTCTTCCTGTTTTTTCTTCTCGTCTTGAAGTTTTTCAATTAATGTTGTAAATTTCTCTTGTTCCTTTTTACCTTTTCCAGCATTCTGCAAGTTTCGAAAAAATCAACAAAATTAATAACCAATTAATATTTGTTTAACATTAATTAAAAATTTATAATTTGATAAATCGTTTAAATTTTTTTTTTTTTTTTGAAAAGAAAAAAAGAAAAGAATAAAAATTACAATATCCTTGGAATCCGCGACCTGAGCAGCGAGTTGTTTCAATCTGTTGATTTCACGTTGATAACTATCGCTTGGCACATGCAAATCATACATTTGTAGAGACCAAAATGTAACTAAAAATTGTGGCGAAATATCTTCCCAAACTTTAAGTGGATGAAGTGGTCGCACCGAAAGAGCAACTGGTGCCATTGTTGTTTGTGCGGCTTCTGCCCATTTTGTTTGTTTTACTGCCGTTGACATTTTTTTATAATTTGGATCTGATTTTCGTAAAGCGTCATATTTGATCTGTAAATTCATTTTTTTATTATTATAAAATTCATTAATAATTTTTAATACGAAAAAAAAACACTGAAAGAACGTAAATATTTTTTCGTTTTAAAAATTAGAAATTTTTTTTTTCATCTAAAAATGTTTGTTAAAAATTGAAAATCGAATTAAAATAGAAGAAATTTAACGAAGATGAATTATAAAAAGGAAAAAAAAATTCTTTATTCGATAGAAAAGAAGAACAAAGGGAGTAAAAATTGAATTTAATAAAATTATTATGTTTTTGTTTTTTTTTGGAAAACTAACGTTAATAGCATGCGCGAACATTGGCCTAGCGAGGAAAAATGCGACATCCGAATGTATGTGATGATCTTGTAACATGGAATGAATCGAAGGCAATTTATCAACGTATTCATCGACAGTCATCGTTGATCCCAAAAATGTTCCAAATTGAACCAATGTATCTTGACACTGATCGTATAATTTTCCTGTAAAAAAAAAAATTATTCATTTTGAAAATCTTATTTGGATCCAATTTTCAAAATGAGAAAAGAAAATAAGAAAGAATAAAAGGGGAAAAATGTTTCTACTTCTAAATTAAAATATTACAAAATTAAAAAAAAAAAGAATTCTAAAAATTATTTTACAACTAACAAAATTAAACGCGCGCCAAATTGAGTATTTAATTGTTTGTTATAAAGAAATTAAAGATTAATATTATCAATAATAATTTAATTTATTAGAATATTATTACATATTAAATGATAATAATGAAAATTATATGTTTACAGGCCTCGGATTATACGACTTTTATCGACTTACTTTAATAAAATACGACTTTTTTTTTACATTTGAAAAAAAATGTAAATAAAATACATTTTTTTAGTATAAAATTTAGATCTTCTTCAATTCAATTATTTAACAAATTTTGAACTAAAATGATTCTTCACTAAATTAATTATTTTTAATAATTTTAATGAAATACATCACAAATTCAATTAATTATTTTTCAATTAAAATTTTTATGAAATTTAACAATTGCTTATAATTTTAAAAAAATATATCACAATAAAATTTAATTATTTTTTAAACATTTCAATTCAAAATAAACTAAAATTCAATTATTACCCGAAATTTTATTTCATAATCAATTAAAAATTCAATAAATATCTAAAATTTTCAATTTCAAATTTAATTATTTACCAACTTATCAATTTAAAATGAAATAAAATTTAATTATTTTCTAAATTTTCTATTCAAAATTAATTATCCAAATTTTCAAACAAAAATGAACTTAAATTAAATTATTATCCATAATTTCAATTAAAATTCAATTATTTCCCAAAATTTTCAATTCAAAATGAATAGAAATTCAATTATTTTCCAAATTTAAAATCAAATAAAATTTAATTATTCTCAAAAATTTGAATTCAAAATTAATTGAATTTTCAATAATTTGAATTTAAAAGCATCTAAAATTTAATTATTTCTAAAATTTTCCATCGAAAATTTTTTTTTTTTTGAAATTTAATAATTTCAATTATAACTCAAAGGAAATTCAATTATTTTTAACTATTTTAATAATATTCTTTGAAAATTCAACTATCTGAAACCATTTTTCAATTAAAAATTGTTTGATAAATTATTTTTAGTTCTGTAAAATTTAATAATTGTTTGAAAATTAACAATATCTTTTGAAATTTAATCATTTCTGAAAATTTCAATTTTAATCCTTCGAAAAGGATTATTATTAAAAAAAAGGATTATTATTAAAAAAAAATTTTTTTATTTAAAAATCTGTAAAATATTTTTATTAAAATAAAAAACAAATCCACTTTTTTTTGAAATATAAATCGACTAAAACGACTTTTTGTGTCTTTAAGTTGATTCGAGGCCTGTGTTTTTATAATTAATATTTAATAGGTATTCGTTGGCACCTGGTATCTTAAAAATTAATTTTTTAAAATAAATTTTTATTCAAATTACTATCTTATACGAAATTTCCTGGCGCATCTTTTTTCTCATCATAAATTTTTTGTATTTGTATACAATTTTTGAATCAATATACAACTTTAAAAAAAATTTCGTTAGTAAACGTTGTGTACTTCAGCTTCGTGAATTGAATTTTCAAATTTGGAATTTTAAAGAAACTTATTCCGAAATTTGGAAACACAATTATACAACTTTGGCAAAAAATGAGAAAAAGAATTGTCAAAATTTGACACGTCATAAGATTACTATTCAAAAAAAAAAACACGTGAAATCAGAAAAGGCCAACTTCAAGTTAGGACAGAAGGACAGACCAAGCATTTTATTAGTATATAATTATCGAAGTTCTTTGAGTATTATTATTATTATTATTATAATTATAATTATTATTATTATAATTTTTTTTATCACTCTTGTATTATTGCAAATTAGATATTAATATTTTTAAATTGCGTACGCTTGTTCAAAACGCGAGCAGTTCATAATGTGCCCGATAGGTGGCTTCAATGAGTTTTTCTCACAAGAGATTTGCATTTTACTATGTATATAAGTAGCTTTTTTTGTACTATAAAAGCATCTAGTCAATCAGTCTTTCTGACTGATCTAAATTAGTATAAAGCAATAAACTCAAGTAAGGAATTTTTTGTAGTCTGATTTTTACCGTTTAGAGGAATCAGCAAAAATTTAATTTAAAATTAAAGGTCATGTTGAATTTTTACATGTGAATGAAATGGAAAAATTCAAGATCGTCCAATATAACCTTAAGAGACGTTCAATAAATATGTAGAAAGCCAATTAAACGAAAGTGGCGTTCCCAGAGGATGATTATAATATTTTCTATATAATTCTTTCTAATTTGTATTTTTCAAAAAACATGAAATTTCTAAAATAAAACTTGAAATTTTTTTTTTTTTTAAAGAAAGTTAAAAAAAATTATTTCTTTTTAAAAATGTTTATCGTCTACTATTTTTGTACACAGAAAAATTTGTACAAAAAAATGTAATTTAATTAGTAAAATTACTGCAAAAAAATATATTCTGACAACCCTTAAAAAAAAAAAAATGTTATAAAATATAAAAACACTTACCAACAAGTTTAAGATGAGATCTATCAGTTTCTCGATACACAACGCAATGTTTTTGTTGCGCCATTAAAAGACAAAGTGCAACAGCCAAATCCTGTTCACCAAGCGCTTCCTTCAATCTTTGTGATGATTTTTTTGTATTACGAACTTGACTAAAGTAACCGGCCTGAAAACAAAACAAAAAATCCCTTTTGCCATTTTTTTTTCACAAAATTTTGAAATATTAAATAAAATGAAAATCGTTCTTTTTTTCCAAATAATTTTTTTAAATAATTAAAATTATTTGACGGTTTATTTTCTTTTTTTTTGCCATTTTTTGTTTTACAAAATTTTTAAAATTTATTAAATAAAATGAAAATTATTCTTTTTGTTCCAAATAAATTTTTAGAATAATTAAAATTATTTGCCGGTTTATTTTCTTTTTTTTTGCCATTTTTTTTTCTTTACAAATATTTGAAATATTAAAAAAAATCGTTCTTTTTGTTCCAAAAATAATTTTTGTAATAAAATTATTCGCCCGATTATTTTCCATAAATAAATAATTTTAAAACATTAAAAACCAGAATATTTATTAAATCAATTAATTTACAAAAAAAATAAATAAAATTTACCTCATTTTTCAAAAGATCACCACCGGCCATTGCGTCCAATTGATCGGGAGTCATTTCTTCAGCGGCTTCAATTCCTGCCATTTTTTGCACAATCTCCTTCAAAATTAATAAATCAAGACTGAAAACGAAATCAATAAATTGTCTTCATTAATTTTCCATTATCGGGATGAACCCAATTTATTTTTTTTTTTTATTAAATTTTGTTTTTAAAAGCCATTAAAATTAATAAAAAAAAATCTTTGTAATTAATATGAAAATATTTAGCAATAATAATAATGTTCTTAATAAATTAACAAAAATATTTTACAATTAGGTGAAAATGTTTTACAATTAAGTAAAAATATAAAACAAAAATAAAAAATATATAAAATGAATAAATTGTAAAAAAAAATTGCTTTTTTAAATTTAGTGAATTTTTTCTAATTAGTAAATCGTTTTTTTTTAAAAAAAAAACGATATTTAAAATTTAAAAGCTTAGATGTTTAGAGGTCAAAAAAAAGAAGGGACTTGCAAAAGAAAATTGAGCTTCCCTTGTGGAGACGATAAATTTTCTCAGCGATATTCCCGAAATATTCGAATTCGCGTCAAAAGCACTTTTTTTCGGTTTCCTTTTTTTTTAAAAAAATGTTACGTCGCATAAAAGTAGAAACACTACTGAAACTTTTCCCTGAATTTTATCACTCACTGCTTTTTTCAATTTTCACCGCTCTTCAAAAATTTTCTCTCATAATTTTTTTCTTCCGTTATTCAAATTCCTCTTCATTTTTGAAAATTCTTCTTTTTCCTTCCACAAATGTCTGAAAAATAATATTTAATAACATTTTATTGACCTATCATTTAATTTATATTTATTTACATAACTTCGCATTTTTCAAAATTTTCAAAAAATTTCAAAATCAAAAGTTATTAATAAAATTCATTTTTTGGAATTTATTTTGAAATATTTTTTTTTTAAACGAAAAAAAATTATCAATAAAATTCTTTTCGAAATATTAATATTTTTTTTTTTTTAATCAAAAAAATTATCATTGTAATATTTTTTGAAATTTACTTTAAAATATTAATTTTTTCTGAATTAGAAAAATTTCCAATAAAATTCTTTTTGAATTTATATTTTGAAATATTAATTTTTTTTTTTTAATAATAATAAAATTTTTTTTTAATTTATTTTGAATTATTATTTTTTTTAATCTTTTTACATTTTAAATAACAAAATTTTACCTGATGTTAAAGATCCCTGGACGAGATTTGGATCTCGTCAATTTCCACTCAGCGTTGAATTTCCATTTTTTTTTTTTTTTTTTTTTTTTTTTTTTTTTTTTTTTTTTTTTTTATTATTATAAAATTGATTTTGTTCTCTCTCATTAATTTATTTTATCAAATTTTTTCATTTTCCAAATTTTTTTTTTCCTCAATTTTTTCTTATTTGAAAATTTTCCTTGTCAATCCAGTCGAAAATTTCATTGAAAATTTCTTTTTATCAATTTTTTGTTTCATCTTTACTTTTTATTTATTTGAAATTATTCCATTTTTTTGTCACATTCATAAGTTGATTATCAAATTTCATTTTTTTTTTTTGCCTTTTGCTTGAGTATTTTTCTGGTGAAAAATTAATTTTCCATTTAATTTGAAAAATCTGCTTCGTGATTGTAAAGTTTTTCCATTTAAAATGCTTCTTTTTCCTCAATAATTCGAAATTCATTTCCAAATCGTTTTTTTTTCGATTCAAAACATTTTTTATTTAGACAGAAAATTTCTTTTTTCTCTTCACTTCCATTGAATTATAAAAATTCAAAAATTTTCTTCTTAAAAGTAACAATTTCGTTTCTAAATTTTCCTCTTTTCTGAAGTTTTCATAATTTTTTGTTCTCAATTTTTGTTTTCAGAAATTAAAAAAATTTCTTATTCTCAAATTTGTTTGATTTTTTCTTTGTCTTTATAGGAGAAAAAAAATCAATTCAATTTTTTTTCTTTTTTTTGCCTCTTCGTTAGAATTAAATATATAAAAGAAAAATAATTTTTCTCGACGATTTGGAGAAAGAGAGAGATCCACTTTTTTTTTTTTTTTTTTGAGAAATCCAAATGGCCTTGAAAATGTGAATAATATCCCAGGTTTTTTTATTTTTAATTTTTGTTTTGCGCACTTGACAGCAGAAAACTTGGATCAAAAAAGGTGACTTGGGCGTTGATGTTTGTGTGTGTTTGTGCATAACACGCTAACTGTGTTTAACTGGCGGCAAGAAAAACGCACCAGCCTCTCCAATTTCTAAGTGAAACACAAGACATTTAAAAGACAACGAATTCTCATTGCTCAATAATAAACAAAATATGTAATTTTGTTGATTTAACATAAATTACGATATTTTTTTTTTTTTTCATTTTGTAACGGTCGCACGCAAAAAATCGATAAAGAAAAAAAAATTTTTTTTAATTCAAAATCGGCGCAAAAGAATATTGTTTTCTTTTTACGACTCTTTTTATTTTTTTTTTTTTTTTGTAAACTTACCAATTTTGTTTGGCATTCATCAACCGCGTTCCCCCTATTTTTTATCTGAGAAAGTTTCTTTTTTTATTTAGTTTTTTTTTTTTTTTTTAATCTCAATTCACATTGAAAATCATTTTTTTTTTAACTTGAAACTAAATCTGACATGAAGCGCGTTAAAAAAAGAAATGTAAACTTAGAAATTATAAAAATTTATAAACTAAACTTAAAAATAAATTTAAATGTAAATTTGAACTAAATTTAAAAGTAAATTAATTAAAAAATAAATTAAATATAAAAAAAACTTAAAATAATGTAACGAAGGCGATATTTTTATAAAAAATCAAAAGAAAACAATTTTAAAGAATTGTGAATTAATTTTTAAAGAACGATAAAGAGAAAAAAGTAAAATAAATAAATAAATAATCTTGTAAATAAATAAAATAATAAATAGTAAAAATGAAAAAAGAACAATATGAAATATGAGAAAACAATTGAAAATTGTGTTGAAATTTCATGAAAAATTAGAATCCGTTTTAAAGTAATAAATAAAAAAATAAATTTTCTTTTTCTACCTACCTTTTTTGTGCTTTCAGTTGATTAGCTACGTACTGAAGGAGACCGGATAATTCGATATTGTATTTTTTGAAAATTGCGCCACAAAAAGAGGCGAGCGATTGAAGCCAAAGGGAAATACTTGTTCCATCGTGTTTAAATCTGTCTCGATCAGCTCCAGCTAATGCCTCGACAAGACAATAACCCAATACATCGTAAGAAATATTCGTTAAATATTTCAATGAATCGACAACCGGGCCTAAAAAGTTTTAAAAAAATTATTTTTAAACCAAAAAATTTTCAAAAATCCCCTTTTTAAAAAAATTATTTTTTATATTTAAAAATTATTAAATAATAAATTACAAAAAACTATTCAGGGTTGAAACGGAAATTTAAATTTATTTTCTCCTCATTTTAACAAAATTTGGTCATTTTCATTGAAACCGACAAAAAACATGTATTTTTTTTAAATCATTGAAAATTTTATTAAATTTCTTTATTTCTTTTCGAAAATCGGAATTTTTTTCAACGAATTTAATTAATTGATATTTTTTTTCCAAAGGTTTTTAATAAAAATTCCTGACTTTTCGCTGATAATAAATTTAGCAGAAATTTAATTTAATTATAACAAATTTTCAACAATATTAGTATTTCCCAAAAAATGTTTTTTGTAACATTTTTCTGTTTACTTCTTTTTTTTTTATTTTATTTTTTTTTAATTTTTGACAACAATTCAATTTTAGAGTTTTTATTTGAAACTTTATTAAATAATTGCATTTTTAATAGAAATATTAAAATAATTGAATTTTTGATGAGTTACAGTTGAAATATTTAGAAATAATTTAATTTCAAAAGATTTTGTTAAATTTCAAACAATAATTAAATTTTACTGAAATTGAAAATAATTTAATAAATAATTTTAGATAACCTTTTTTTTTAAATAATTAAATTTTCAAAGATTTACAACTTATATTTTTAAAAATATTGAACTTCAAGTGATTTTTAATTAAAATTTTCGGTTATTTCTGTTGATGAAGAATTTATTGGAAAATACTGACAAAAATTGAATTTAGAAAAATTTTTAATTAAAAAATACTTTCAAATAATTGAATTTTCAAAGAATGTTATAAAAATCATTAAAAATAATTGAATTTATGAAAATTTACAATTTGGATTTTTTTGAAAATAATTGAACTTCAAGTGATTTTTAATTGAAATTTTTATTGATTTCTATTGCTGAAGAATTTATTTATTTTTAAATAATTGCATTTTTTTAATGAAAATATTAAAATTATTAAAAATAATTGAATTTTGTAATTGTTAAGAATTGAAATTTTTAGAAATAATTAAATTTCAAAAGATTTTGCTAAATTTCAGATAATAATTAAATTTTACAGAATTGAAAATAATTTATTAAATAATTTTAGATAACCTTTTTTTTTCAATTGAATTTTCGAAGATTTACAGAATTTTGAAAATAATTGAATTTCAAGTGATTTTTAATTGCAATTTTTTGGTAATTTTATTTGATTATTTTTTTTTAAATTACAAAAAAAATTTTGAATTTCATAAAATTTTTGATTGAAAAATAGTTTAAGATAATTAAATTTGTGAAGAATTTCATTAAAACTATTGAAAATAATTAACTTGGAGAAGAATTTAAGTTGAAAATTTGTTAAATAATTGAAATAAACAAGATCTGCATTGTATGCTAAAAAAAAACGTATTTTGTTTAAAAAAAATTTTGTAAAAAATATAAAAAACAGTCGAAAAAGTCCCATTTTATTAAAATTAGTATTTTCGAAAAAAAAGTCATATAATCCAAGGCCTGAATAAAACCAAAAATTTTTTTTTTTCCTTTTAAATTAAGAAAAAGTAAAATTAAATAAACTTACCAATGAGATTGTCGTAAAGTTGAATTTGAATGAGAACATAATCAAATAAAACTCCAGGCGATGAATGTGTAAGTTTTCCAATTGATCGACCAACAGGTTTTATTGTCTCCTTACTGACTCGTTTCATAATTGTTTTTATTTTCTTCTGTGCGTCCGCTCTTTTTTTCAATAATGCCGAATGTTGAAGTGGAGTTTCATTTTTCCATCGCGCATAAAGACAATAACGATTTTGATATGGATAATGTTTGAGAATATTCCAAATTTCCTCCGCGACACAACAATTACAATCCATAAATGACAACGATGGCAATAATGCAACATCAAGAATTGTTATTATATCAAAATAAAGATTATTTGTTCTGAAATAAAAAAAAAAAAAACTTAGAAATGTTTTAAATTAATTTAAACAAATTAATTTGAATTATTAAAAGAAAAATTGAAATTTTAATTTTATTTTCTAGGAAAATTGTGAAATAATAATAATTACTTATCAATTGGTTGTCTATTAGAGTCCATGGGAATTTGTTTAATGGCCGAATGACACAATCGCATTATTTTGTACATTAGAATTGGATCGTGATGAAGATTCGGTCCAAGAATCACAAGCATCGGTAATAATTGATCATGAATTTGATTAAGTGATTGCATCGGCTTTGGTGCCAATGGACTTTTTAATGGGGGAATTTTTCTTCCCGGTAATTTTGGCGATATTACGCAATACCTAAAAAATTTTCAATTAAAACAATAACGAAAAAAACAATGTCAAAAAATACATTTTTTTTTTATCTTTATTGAAAAAAATCTGTATTATTTTACTATGTAAATTTTAAATTTACAATATTTAGCTTGTATATTAATAAATAAATAAATTAGACTTTGAATAAAAATTCTGTTCATTTTTATTATAAAAAAAATTTATTAATATACAGGTGAGATAATATTTTAATTTTTAAATAGTTTATTTAGAAAATTGTTGATGAAAAATTTTTGAAAAAAAACAAATGGAAATTAAAAGAAAAATAAACTAAAACAAAAAAAATGTTAAATTATATATAAAAAGTTAAATTTTCGACTTACTTGCGATAAATTGGTTCAATCAGGGATTGTATAATTTTACAGAATGCAAGAGCAATTGGTTTTTGATCCGTGAAACAATAATCGGGTAATCTATTGAATAAACTCTGAGCGACATCCCAAGCTCCGATGTCTAAAAGCGCTTCACAGAGTCCAAATTTCTGATTATTTGAGTATTTATCCTAAAATAAAATTTAAAAACAACCAAAAAAATATTAAAAATTGCAATTAATTTGTACAAATGAAAAAAAAAATGAAATTTCATTCTATAATTTTATAACAAGTATTTAAATGTACCTAAAAGAAATGGAAATTAATTATTAATTGTAACTAAAAATTATTAATATAATTTAAAATTATTATTTTGCAAATATTATTATATACAATAAATTATTATTATTGTAAATTACATATATAAATTAGTTAAATAAATTTTTTTTTCAGTATCGAGAGAAGTATTTTTATTCAAATGCAATTTTAAAAGGTTAAATTAAATCTTTTTATTTGTGAAAGAGACAATTTTTCTTAAACGTCCTGGTAAAAAAAAAAAAAAAAAACCAAATTATTATATTGGTTTGAAATTTTGGTAAATTATCGCCCAATACATGAGTAACAGTTTCCTAAAATTTTAACTCAATTGAACAAAATTTGTAGAAAAGGCAGAAATTTTGATTAACGCTACATAAAAATTGAATATTGAGCCTTAGTTGGCTAAAAATATAAATTGGCTAATTTTTATGTCTTTTCTAGGTTTTTCAATTTTTTTTTTTTTTTTTTTTTTTTTTTTTTTAATAATTTCCACGATTATCTAAATAATTAAGAGAAAAAATTACATTATTTAGAAAACAAGGCAAAAAATAATAATAAAAAAAAAGAAATCAAAAATTACATTTTTAAATTTTGAAAAATTTTCCAAAAACTTTTTAAAATGTCATGTCTTTCAGGTTTATTTTCTCGAATTGCTTGGAACCTTTATAAAGAGAATTTTTCTTACTATTTAAATATATTTTTTTAATTTTAAAAATCTATTTAAATTTAAAAGAAATTTATTCTCCTGTATCATAATTTTAAGCCAATTTTCTAAACTCAGTATTCAATTTTTATCTAGCTTTAATCAAATATTATCATTATCATACCTTTAATTTGTTTTTAAATTTAAATTTTCGACATTTCTTTTATTTTTAAATTCATGCAAAAATATCAATTTTTTACAGTTCAAATAATAATTATTATCTAATTTTTTTTTCAATATTATTTTTTGTAAACTCGTGTATAATAAAATAAAAAAAATACAAAAAAAGAGATAAAAATACATTAAAAAAATTCACCTCTGATGTCTGATTTATTGAGACTTTATTCAAAAAATTTTTCCGTTTTTTTAAAAAAAGAGAATTTTTTTTTAAATTCCGGTAAAGTGAAAAATTTTTAAATGATTTTAAAAAATTCTTAATTTAATTTAATTTTTTTGTTAAATTATTTTTACTAACCTGTGAATTGTCCTTTTCCTCGGGAACATCCTCCTTGTCTTTTGTCGAGATAATACTCATTTTTCTCACATATTCTTTAGCTTGTTTCATTGAAATTTCGCAATCGCGAATAATTGATTTATCATCGGGCACAAGCCACGGCCAAATATCATCGAGTTTAATAACTTGATGCTGAAGCATTAATGCCGTGACTCTTTGTAATGAAAAAGGAGTTGAATTTGCTGTACAACGATATTTAAAACCCAATACTTCACAAAGAACTTGTTGATCGCTCATATATGAACAAATCAAAGGAATAAAAAGTCCATCGTCCTGTGGCCTTTTTTCAAAAGTTTCCAATAAAATATCTAATACTCGATTTGGATCGAGATTAAAATATCCTAAAATAAAAAATTTAAATCCAATACTTGAGAATTCTTTTTTTTTTCTTTAAAAAAAAAAAAAAAATTTTTCCCACTATTTTTGTTTTTGAAAAATTCGATTTTTTTATTCTTGATATTTTTGCAAAATTATTCCTTTATGTATCTACTGTGATAAAAATTTTAAATTAAATTAATTAATTAGAAAATTTTTGAAATTAAAGTTATGCTTTTCTAAAATTTGCAACAGGTTTTTGAAATTTTTTTTTATCACATCTAAAACATAAAGGAACATTTTCTCAAAAAAGAAAAATTTAATGATAATTTACAAATAAAAAAAGAAAGTATTGTTATAAAAAAATTTTTCCGCTCTGTTAATTATTTTTAATTAAAGAAAAAAATAATAATAATAAAAAAATAAAAGTATATCCTACCAATAAGGGATTTAACAATCTCTAAAGTAGATGCCACTTCACTTTCCGGTCGCTCTTGACTTAACTCTACTATTAATTTTGAATAACCTTCACTTTCTTCACGAAAAAGATTAAATTTACGTTGTTTATAGCTGCAAAGAAATCAATTGATTTTTTATTAATGGAAATTCATGCATTTTTTCTAAATTCTTTTTTGTTTTCTTCTTTCAATAGTAAATTTTACCATTCACAGTTATCACAATAAACTATTTAAAAAAATTAATTAAAAAATAAAATTCAAAAATAAATTTATTTAAAAATAAATAGAAAAATATAAACAATTATTGTAGAAAAAAAAATTGAATCGAAATTATTAAATATTTTTTTCCATAAATACCCTACTAAAACAGAATGTTCAGCAACTTTTGAAAATAAAATTCAAGGTCTAAAATAATTTTTTTCAATTTAATTTCTTATAAAATTTAATTATATTTTCAAAATTTTCAATTAAATTTTACGAAATTAAAATTAGATATTTATTTTAAAATTCTTTATTCTTTTATTCTTCATCTTGGAAAATTCAATTATATTCAAAATTGTAATTTAAATTTATTTAGAAACTTTATAAAATTCTACGACAAATCATAATTTTTTAAAAATAATTTTAATAAAGTTTGTCGAAAATTCAATTATTTAAAAGAAAATTTCAATTATTATTTATCAATTTCAAATTATGAAAATTTTAAACCCTTCTGAAATGTAATCATTTTGAAGTTTTTATCGAAAAATTTTTGCCAAATCATAATTATTTTTTCTAAAATTAAATTATTTAACAAAAAATTTTTCAATTAAAAATTGTCTAAAATTCAATAATTATTGTCTGAAATTTGTAAAAAATAATCAGCAATTCAAAATTATATAAAAAAAAAAAATGTGGATTTAAATTCTCTTGAAATTCAATTGTTTCTGAAAATCTAAAATTTAAATCATGAAAAATACAATTATTTGTATAAATTTTTCTAAATATCTCAAAGAGAATTTAATATTTTCAAAAATTGATGAACACCCTCTAAAAATACGAGAAATCTAAAAAATTACTTAAAACTTATTAAAAATAACAATAATTTAAATGATTAAAAAAAAATTGAAAAATATTAATTTAATTTTAAATTATTGTTTCAAAAACTAAGCTTAAAATATGAAAAAATAAAAAAAAAGACAAGTAATTTCGAATTTATGTAAATTTTTGTTTAATCTACATTTATTTGAAATTAAAATTTATTCCTCTGAATTTATCGAAAGATAAATAAATTTTAAAAATAGAGAAATATTTAATAAACTGTGATGTCTGAGTTTATCAAAAATCCAATAAAAAAAAAAAAAAAAACACCGAAATTTCTTTCACTAAATTCAATTTTTTTCTATTTATTTTCTATTTAGTCTCCAATTTTTTTGACTTTGTAATTTTTAGAAATTTTTCCGTTTTTGTTTTTTATTTGGTTTAATTAAAAAAAAAATATTTCTTTATTTTGGATTTTTGATATCGAAAAAATAAGAAATAAAAAATTATTAAAAAAAATGTTTCCAACTATTAAAATAAAAAAAACAAAATACATACTAGAGTTTCGTTTTGACTTTGATGAATTTAGTCTGAAAATTGAGATTTTTTAATGTTCCCACATCCTGAAGAGTGTCAATTTCTAATCTCTCTTTCAGTATTCGATCTGTTAAAAACTGTAAATAATATTTGCTGTTATTTTTGCTTTTTAAAAATATAAATAAAATTATCAACAAATGTCAAACAGTTAATTTAAATGAAATTCAACATTAAAATGTTTAATTAGTCAATTTTTTTGTTTTCGTGTTTTTCAATGAAAAACAGAAACAAACAAAATTAACAAATACATTGTATTAAAATTGGTTCTACATTTTTTTGTCATACCTTTTCTGATTCTTTGACGATGAAATAAAACATATTCCTTTCTTCATTCTGCGCTTCTGAATCGATCAAAGTAAAAATATCTACAATTGCAGATGGGAATGCACCGTCGATACTCTGAAAAAAAAAATTAAAAAAAATTTTTTTTATCTCTACATTATTAATTTTATTTTTTTAAAACTTGATTCAACGATGACAGTATCTGAACGGAAAGAAAAGAAATATCAAATTTCATAAAAATAAAAAATTGCGAATTTATAAAAAGTTACTTGAGTTATAAAAACTACTATTAATAGTATTTTTATTTATTATTATTATTATAAAATATCAAATAAAACAAGTTATTAATAAAAAGTTACAATAAATAAATATATAATAAGTTTATAACTTTTATATCGATATAAAATTTTATGAAAACAATTTTTTAAATTACAAGTTAATGAACGTTAAATTTTTCTTTAATAAACAATTTTGTTTATAAATATTGTATTTTATATTGTAACCGTTTGTAAAAAAATTGCATAATTTTTAATTTAAAAAATCCCCTTTTTTCATAAAATTTAATCGATTTCCAACAATTTTTGTAGAGGGTATTTTCTAAAAACAATATTTTAGCAGATTTTTTTAATTTGGAAAAAATTATCATTATTCAATTTGTTAATAACATCAAAGTTATTAACAATTTTGAAAAGAACTTTGAAAACAAAAATCTAAATACTAAATAGTACAATTTTACTAACTATTAAAAAAAAATATCAACTTGGCAAATTTTCCAAACTTCCAAATCTCTCCGCTAGGGTTCAGAAAGCGTTGCTAGTGAGAAAAGTTGAGAAATAAAAATTTTATTTTTTAAATAAATATTCGTTCAAATAATGTAAAATCGTGATATTTCTCTTCTTAACACCTAAGGTCAATTATTTTCACAAAATTTTGATGAATTTATTGATAAATAGTAATTATTTAGTATGAGCTTAAAATTCATGTTTCTCGCAAGCGGTGTTATGAACCTTACATTGAATATATAAGGATAACTCAAAGCAACATTTATAGAGTGGTCTGATGTTACTCAGGTATCCTTGTGCAGTCAATTATCCCAGATAATTGTCTTACAACTATATATAATTGAATATATAGTTAATAAAAATGTACATTGATATACTATATATGAAATATATAGTGAGTACACAAAATAAATATTATGTATAGAGTAATATACATATATCAGTCACAATAAGTGACGAGTAAAAAAAAGGGCAGCGCCCTCTACTCTTCCCTTTCCTTCAGTGAAAATAATTTCACAACTGTAGTAACGACTACGACCACTCTTTTTGCCTTTGAAAATAAATATTTCAAATAAAATATAATTTCGGATAATTTTTTCTCTTTTTTAAATATTAAGTAAATAAATTTTAAGAAGACATAACACATTAACATAACCTCATACTAAAAAATTATTTTTAACAACAAATAAAAGTATAATTAAAATTTTATGAAATTCTGAAAAATCTAGTGCAATTTAAAAAAATATATTTTTAGCGAATATTTGTTGTTAAACCTAACTTATTTGAACCAAATAAATTTTTTTCAGTGTGTATAAAAAATAAAACTATTTTATTTCTCAAATAACTTTTGAAAAAAATATTGTTTATAAAAAAAAAGGATTCTTTTATAAAATTTGATATGTATTTTCTTTTTCTGTATTGTTAAGAAAAAAAGTGAAATGATTCTTTTTCTTGAAGAAGGATAGATAAAATTGTTATACAGACAAAAATTTAATTTTAAATTAATTTAAAAAAAAAAGTTTTACGAAACTATTTAACTACCCTTTTTTTGTTTAAATGAAAAATTTAAGAAAATGTAAGTCTCTAAAAATTCTTTACTGTTAAAAAAAAGGATTCAATTTTTTTTTAAAATATCGGACAACAATAAAATTTGCAATAAATTAGAAAATAATAACGAAGCTGAAGTACGCAACGTTTCTGATAAACGATTTTTAAAGAAATAATTTTTTAAAATAAAAAATATTTTTTATAATTTGTTGATTAATGAAAAATAGAAGAAATATTTTTTAGGCAAAAAATTAGAGAATTTTTCTTTTTAAAAAATTATTTCTTTAAAAATCGTTTATCATAAACGTTGCGTACTTGAGCTTCGTAAATAATGTCCGAGATTTTGAATTCTTTTATTGTGAGACAAAAAATTTTAATTCATCTAAAAAAAAAAGGTGAAGTAGATTACAGATTTACAAATTATTTACAAATAATTTAAAAATAACAATTTAAAATTACAAATTAAATATATTTAAATTTTTTTCTTTTCCTGAAAATTCTTTAAAATTAAATTTTTACTTTTTCACATTTCGATATTAGAAAAATAAAAAGTTGAAAACTTACAGTGATTTCAGCCAATGCCTCTACTACTTTTTCCTTCTTTACGACTCCTCGAACGCCCTGTGAAATTAGTTCGTACAATCCTCGCTTCCATTCTACAAGAAAAAAAAGAAAAGAATTTTTTCTGTTAAATAACGCATTTCTAATACAAACAGAAAAAAATGTACAAAATTTAATTTCAATGAGAAATAAACATTTTGGTTTAAAAAATTTTGTTTTTTTTTAAAAAGAAAAACTTCTTTAAGAATTATTGAAAATAATAAATAAAAAAAATTACACCCAGTTTAAGAATTATTTAAAAGACACTACAATTTCAGGACTAATAATAAATAATAATAATAATAATAATAATAATAATAATAATAATAATAATAATAATAATAATAATAATATTAATAATAATTCACAATAATAAAAATAATAAACATTTACAATTTATCTATAATCGAATGTAAGAAAAATGTTTATTTGACCAATTAAATGTTATTTAGTAATTTATTTAGTTTAGTATTTGTAATTTTTAACAATTTTTTTTAATGTTGCAATGATAAATTTTTTAAAAAATAATTATATAATAATAAAATGCTTGGTCTGTCCTTCTGTCCTAACTTGAAGTTGGCCTTTTTTGATTTCACGTGTTTTTTTGAATAGTAATCTTATGACGTGTCAAATTTTGACAATTCTTTTTCTCATTTTTCCCAAAGTTGTATAAGTAATTGTGTTTCCAAATTTCGAAATAAGTTTCTTTAAAATTCCAAATTCGAAAATTCAATTCACGAAGCTGAAGTACACAACGTTTACCAACGAAAATTTTTTTAAACTTGTATATTGATTCAAAAATTGTATACAAATACAAAAAATTTATGATAAGAAAAAAGATGCGTCAGGAAATTTCGTACAAGATAGTTATTTGAAAAAAATTAATTTTTACGGGCCAATGAATACCTATTAAATATTAATTATAAAAACACAGGCCTCGAATCAACTTAAAGACACAAAAAGTCGTTTTAGTCGATTTATATTTAAAAAAAAAGTGGATTTGTTTTTTATTTTAACAAAAATATTTTACAGATTTTTAAATAAAAAATTTTTTTTTTTAATAATAATCCTTTTCGAAGGATTAAAGTTGAAATTTTTAGGAATAATTAAATTTCAAAAGATATTGTTAATTTTCAAACAATTATTAAATTTTACAGAACTAAAAATAATTTATCAAACAATTTTGGGAAAACATTTTTTAAATTTAATTGAATTTTCAAAGATTTAAAATTGAGATTTTTGAAATTAATTGAAACTTTAAGTGTTTTGTAATTAAAATTTTAGATGATTTCACTAAAAATTTATTAGAAAATGCGGACAAAATACAATAATTTGAAAATCTTTTTTAATTGAAAATAGGTTTCAGATAGTTAAAATTTCAATGAATATTATTAAAATAGTTAAAAATAATTGAATTTCCTTAGAGTTATAATTGAAATTATTAAATTTCAAAAAAAAAATTTCGATGGAAAATTTTAGAAATAATAAAATTTTAGATGCTTTTAAATTCAAATTATTGAAAATTCAATTAATTTTGAATTCAAATTTTTGAGAATAATTAAATTTTATTTGATTTTAAATTTGGAAAATAATTGAATTTCAGTTCATTTTGAATTGAAAATTTTGGGAAATAATTGAATTTTAATTGAAATCATGGATAATAATTTAATTTAAGTTCATTTTTGTTTGAAAATTTGGATAATTAATTTTGAATAGAAAATTTAGAAAATAATTAAATTTTATTTCATTTTAAATTGAAAACTTGGTAAATAAGTAATTAAATTTGAAATTGGAAATTTTGGATATTTATTGAATTTTTAATTGATTATGAAATAAAATTTCGGGTAATAATTGAATTTTAGTTTATTTTGAATTGAAATGTTTAAAAAATAATTAAATTTTATTGTGATATATTTTTTTAAAATTATAAACAATTGTTAAATTTCATAAAAATTTTAATTGAAAAATAATTTTGATATAATTGAATTTGTGATGTATTTCATTAAAATTATTAAAAATAATTAATTTAGTGAAGAATCTTTTTAGTTCAAAATTTATTAAATAATTGAATTGAAGAAGATCTGACGAAAATCTACATTTTATACTAAAAAAATATATTTTATTTACATTCTTTTTCAAATGTAAAAAAAATGTCGCATTTTATTAAAATAAGTCGATAAAAGTCGTATTTTTGAAAAAAGTCGGAAAAAGTCGTATAATCCGAGGCCTGTAAACATATAATTTTCATTATTATCATTTAATGTGTAATAATATTCTAATAAATTAAATTATTATTGATAATATTAATCTTTAATTTCTTTATAACAAACAATTAAATACTCAATTTGACGCGCTTGCGCGCGTTTAATTTTGCTAGTTTCATTATAAAATTAAAAGAAAATTTATAAGAAATATTTAATTAGAATATTAATAAAAATCGAATTTTAAAACAAATTTTTCAAAATATTTATTGTCTTTAAAGGAATAAAAATTTTTAAATAAAAAAATAACTTTTGAATGAAAAATACAATTTTTACAATAGAAAAAATGTTTTATTAAATAACAAAAAAAATTTCAAATAAATTAAAAACATTAAATATTTTTTATACATACTACATAGAAAAAAAGTATTTGGAAATTTTTTTGAAGGAAAAATTGATAACATTGCGACGCATGTTTTATTTAGGGTCAACCGGGGTAAATCCGAACGCTTTTAGTAAGTTTCAACAATAACATAAGTTTTTTCTTTAAAAAAAAAATACTTCCGGTATTCTGGTGCATGAAGTTGTTACTTTACTTCCATAGAACAATTTTATGGGGTAGAAAAAATTTTTGATAAATTACAATCGCAGGAAACTTAGCGTTCGTATTTACCTCAATACTTTGCAACTTTCCTAAAATACCGGGGTAAATACGAACGCCACTGTATTTCAGAAAAATCTTAGGGAAAATAAATTTAAAGTATTGCAATTGTTAAACTTATATAAAAACTCAAAAAAAATACGATAATAAACCTATTATGTAATAATGCATCATATATAAATACAAAAATCAAACAGGTTAAAAATTAAAATGCATTACACAATTAAAACCTTCAATAACTTTATCAAATCATAACGGATTTTTGCAAAACTTGGTACAGAAAGTATTTTGGAGTGATTGAATGTAAATACAAAAATAAAAGTCAAATTTTTTAAATTCAAAATGGCGTACTTTCCTAAAACTTATTTTTAAAAATGATCAAATTTGCTAACCCTGAAACCCCCCGAGTAACAATTTTCGAGCGAATCCAATGAATTTTTTAATTCTCGTCCGCCATTTTGAATTTTGAAAAACTGACTTCAAATTGGTAATTAGCGACCCCAAAAACCGTAGAATACCAAATTTTATTAAGATCCTGAAAAACTTTTTTCAACAAACCATTTGGCAAAAAAATTGAAACACTCCTTCGAGAGAACAGAGATTAAGTTTCTGCTTATTAATTACTAACGAGGATACGTATAGAAAGAAAAACTTTTTTCTATGTACTTTTATAATGTTAAAATAATAGTGTAATCAAAAATAAAAACAATTTTGTGTGGCTTTGATGTAAAAAAAAAATTATTAAAAATACCGTTCGGATTTACCCCAGTTTTCCAATTTTCTTGGGTAAATACGAACGGTCTGATATTATTAATAAAATTTTACAGAAGGCAAAAATCAAATATAGTTTCTGTTCTAGTATTCATAACAAACAATTATAAATAATAAAATAAATTTTTAGCTTCTTTTTCTTCAAATACGAGACAAAATACTGAAAGAGTGTCATCTTTGATTTTCAATCTTTTTTGCAATACTTGTTATCTTTGTTTATGCTGTTGCTAATTAACAAACAAAAAATGGGATAATACTTAGAATCTCTTCAAGAGGATCTGAGGTAAAAATTCTCATATCGAACTTATTTTTAAAAATTTTAATTAAGCTGAAATAATTAGCGTTCGGATTTACCCCGACTGACCCTATACGTGTTACATTGCAATAAATAATAATGGCAAATATTGTAATTTATGTATTTTTTTGTTTCGTTTACATTTTTAGTTAAATCTTATATCATTTGTATTTTTTTTTTCTAAATAGCACGCGCTTATTCAAACACGAGTAGTTCATAATGTGCCCGATAGATGACTACCAGGAGCTTTTCTCACAAGAAATTTAAATTCTTCTATGTATATAAGTAGCTTTTTGTATAGTAAAAGTATCTAGTCAATCAGTCTTTTTGGACTGATCGAAAATTAGTATATATAAGCAATAAACTCAAGTAAGGTATTTTTTGTAGTCTGATTTTCACCACTAGGGGAATCAGCAGAAACTAAATTAAAACATAATTTTCTTTAAGAATTTTAGATATTAAAAAGAGGCGACTAAATAAATAAAAATTTTATTTTAATTTCCCTGAATTTTTATGTTATTCAAAAAAAAGGGAGTTTTTATTTTAAAAAATTTATTTATTAAATTTATTGATTGTACGTATTTATTGATTTGTACGTATACGAATTTGTAAATTTTTGTCGATATTTTAATGACACATGAAGCAGTATAAATTAATAAAATTCGATAGAATTTCTTTAACTAGAGAATTTAATTTTAGCCGAATTTTCATTTGTTCGAATTTAAATTTAAAAAATTTTTTTTTTAAAACGCCGAATATTTATTTTAGAGAACTTTTATTTGTTTGAATAAATATCTGGTAGAAAAATTAGCGGACAAATTTTTCTTTCAGATATTTATTTGGACAAAAATGAATATTCTGTAAAATAAAAATTCGACGTTTTTAGAATTTAGTAGAATTTACATTAGAGCAAATGAAAATTCGACTAGAAAAAAATTATTTTTAATATTCATTATTTCTTTTTTAATATTATTGAATGTAATATTATTCATGTTTTGAATTAATTAATTAATTAGTTGTATTTTAATTTTAATGAGAAATTTTTAATTTTAGAAAAATGTTTTAAACTTTTAGTTTAAAATTTTATATAATGTAAGTGTAACTGTTTTTAATATTTTTTTATAACAAAAACAATTTATATATTTCAATTAAAAAAAAAAAAAAAAAAAAATTCTGAAAAAATTCCCTCATTTTCATATATAGAATCAAAAAATAAATGATTTCAAGTAAAAAAAAATTGTTGAATGAAAATGTTTCGAGAAATGTTCCAAATGCAAATATTTTCCTTCTTCGCAACACAATAAAAAAATGAATTTAATTTTCAATTAAATTTTATTATTTTCTTTTTGTTTTTAAATAATGAAATCATTTTTGAAATAAAACTAATATAAACCATCAAATTTGTTTCGACAAATAAATAAATATTTTTGTAATAATTTATTTAGAAAATAGTAAATTTGTATATTTTTACTAAAAAATTTCGTAAAAACCTCAATTTTTGTCGAAATAAATTATTTTTAATCGTTAAAATTGATTTTATTAATTTAAGAAATAATTTATTTCCATATAAAATTAATGTTTAAATTTAATTATTTAAAAAAAAATTTTTTTTCGTTATAATCGATTTAAAAAAAAATAGTAAATTAAATAAAAAAAAAAAATTTAATACTAATTTCAATATTCAATTAAATTAAAAAATAAATACTAACACTTGATAGAAAATAGAGTTAAAAATTTTTAATAAACAAAGAACGTGCTCAGGAATAATAAATTGAAATTATCAATCAATTGTAAAAAAAATTATTGGCGGGAATATTATGAAAATGTTTAAAGAAATAAAGTAATAAACAAAACGAATAGAAGAAATAAATATGAATAAATAAGAAAAATATTCACCTGATGTGTGGCCTTCCTTGAATGTATGCTTGATTAACTTGAAGCTGCAAACAGTTGTTAATTGACATATTAACCCTTCGCTAGGACGATAATCAAAGGGAGATAAAGTCACGACGATTTAAAATTATTTAACTATTTTCATTTATTGACTATTTTTTTTTTTTTTTTTTTTAATTTTTATTCTTTATTATTACTTTTCTCTCTCACACACACAAAATACTCAGTAGAAATGGAAAATTTAATATGGACGCGCGTTTCAACTACGTTGTCAATTTTGTTCACTTACAAGTCGCCTTTTCCTTGTTTCTCCCATGTTTTCCATAAATCAGAATTCCAAATTTTACCGGACATCATTCAATAAAAAAATATCATAAAATTTTACAATCTAGACGACTGTTCTCTTCGCGAAAACAATAAACCGTGCAAATCACAGGTTAACAGACGCCATTTTCATGTTAAAATACAATATATGTATATATATATATACACGATGTGTTCCAAAACCTTATCAAATTTGACCTACTATTCATTTGTTAAAGGCGCATTCATAGTGAGAATAGCGCAAACTTCAGGGTTGTATAGTTAACTCGAAATTTTTTTTTACGTAAGTACGAATATATAAATTGGTCGTTGTATTTAATTAATCGAATGAATAAAACGAATTAATAAAAAAAAATTAAGCTTTTGAGAAAGAGAATTTTTGTTATATTGATCGAAGTGAAAAAGATCAGTTTTTTGTTATCTTGGGTTGGCAATACAAGATACAGCTCATTGCAAATGTCGTCGTCAGTAAGTAGGAGATCCATTTTGTGTTCGAACAAAATTGAATCTTATTATTTTTTTTTAAAATCGTAGCACTAATTATACATATTTTTTTTGATAATTATGTACTGTTTTATGTAAATAATCGAAAATTCATAAAAATTTCATGGCAGGCAGGAAAAAAAATTAGTATATTTCGATAAAAGTTTTTTTGACACGGAAACTTAACCTAAAAAGATTAGCATCGCAGTGTTAAACAAAAAAAAATACAGGTAATAGTGCATAATTCAAATCGTCATAATAAATAATTTTTATTTTATAAAAACTGTCAAAAAAAATGAATAAAAAAATAATAAAAAATTAGAAATAAATTTATTAAAATTGAAAATAATAAACATGGTTCTATAGAATTTACAAATAAAAAAAGGAGTTAAAAAAAGTTTTGTAAATAGTTTGGTATTTTTTTTTTTTCGTTCTGGTTGGTATCACTGCGTTTACTAGTATATAGACATTGTAAAAAGTGCGGTTGCAATTTACAGATTATTTCGTGAAAAATAAAAAACATTTTATAATTTTAATGTAAATTAAAAATATATTTCAATAATTAAGTAAAGTGTAATTATAAATTATCCAAATTTCAACTATTTTTTTGTTGATAAATATCAAAAATTTTAATATTTTGTCAAATTTAATGACGTTTTGAAATTTAACCTAAAAATTTTCACACAACCAATTTCACGCATGTAAATTCGACAACTATTCAGATATTTGTCCACTGTATTGTAGAGACAAAAATTTTAAAATCAAAATTCCATTAAAATATAAAAATTCCTATGTAATTTTGTACAATGGTTTAATATCTATATTTTTCAAAAAAAAAAGTTTTCTAAATTTTTATTTAAACAATTTTTGTTTACAAAATTTATTAACGCAACGATTTTTTTCTCTTGATACAGAAATTTATTATTTTATTTATTAATTATTAATTACTTATAAAGTTTATAATTTAAATAATTTTCGATGAATATTAAATTTATTCTTAATTAATAGCAAAAATATTGTTAATTAATATTTATAAAAAAAAAAATCTGCGAATAGAAAATGGTTTTCTTTTTTATTTAACATTAAATAGTTAAAATTAATTTTATTTTAAAAATATTGTTTTAAATTTTTTGTAGAAAATCCTTTCTAATCTATAAACAAAAAAAAAACATTGCGATAAAAGGTCGAATAGAAAAAAATCGAACTCGAAAAACTATATCGAAATAAGAAATGAGCATTGAGATTAAAAAATGTAAGTAGAAGGGAAAAACATATTTCAAGATTAGAAATGTACAGGTGGAGCTGCAGTTGATTTCGTCAAAAATGAGCACTAATATTTAAATTATATATATAAATTAATAAGTACAACACTATTTTACACAAAGTGGAAATTAATTTCGGATCTCCTTTAAGTTTTTTATCATGCTTTTAGATTAGAACAGCTGTTACATTGTAGAAATGAACATAACCTATTGAGTTAAAGACACTTAAATATTATAATATATTATTTTCCTTTGTTATTAATAAATAATTTATAAATAAAGAAAAATAAACATAATTACAACTGAAGGTAGTGAAAAATATTGTTTTTGAAGAAATTTTTTCATGATTTACAGAATGTAATTTTTTAAATTACTATTTCAGTGACTATTTTAAAAGACTGAAAAATTTCTTTTCACTAACTTCACATTATAATTAACAATTTATCAGAAATTTAAATTATTTATCTAAAAAGTTTATAAAATAAAGACCTTAAATAAAATCCATTGAAAAAGTATTTTATCAACAGACTATATAAACAATTATAAGCAAATTAGGACGTATAGTACCATAAAGATGAATGTAATTTAAAAATAAAAAAAGCAGAAAATGATTAGTGCAAGAGAGATTATAGCGTAAATCACTCTCTCTTATTTCATAATCATAAATTTTTTCTTTACATTTTGAATCGATATGGGATAAAAAAAAGCAAGAAGAAATTGCAAATCATTTTTTAAAATGAAATGAATAAAATGGAAATTGAAAAGGAACAGAATTTTTTTGACTTATTTTCTTTCATTTAACATAAAATTTTCTTTGAATTAAAAAAATTTGTGCATTAAATAAAAAAAAATTCTAACATTGATATAGGGTGAAAGAAACATTTATTTCAATTAAAGAAAAAATTTCTTTAAAACGAAGATAAGTTTTTGAATCAAAGATAATTTATTTGTTTCAAATAAATTTTCTTTGAATCAAAGAAAAATTTGTCGAAGAAATTGATTTTTTTGAAACAAAGATATCTTTTCTCTGGGTGAATAATTTTGTAATTTAAGTTTTTAATCTTTTTTTTTTTAAATTATGTTTTTAGATCCATATCAATTTTCCAAATATCTAAAAAGACTAGGAAGGATGTTGGAAGAAGAAAAGTGGTCCCAGCGCACACATCTTTTTTTATAAATTTTTTTTTTCTTCTTTTTTATTGTAAGATTTTTATTTTGTGGCTCCCAACCTTTCGCAGAAGTGCAATGAAGTGAGGGATCTTTGGGAGTTATGACCTGAAGCGCTCGAGAAGTGGTGATGACGTTATTACCCCTTCGAGGGATTCACCGAACGATGAGTCGTTTTTTTTATTTAACTCCTTCCCTGTTTAAAACAGTTTTTTTTATCAATTCAATTAAAATATATTCATAAATTGAAAATTAATTTTTTTTTCCTTTTTCGAGAAAAGTATAGAAGTGAATCGTATTTTGATCTAAATAAATATTAAAATTAAAAAAAAAAACAGGGAAGGAATTCTGACAACATAGTGACACCATTGACAAAATTTATTATTTTCTAGTATTTCTTAGAATTAATCTAAATAAATAATGTAATATTTTCGAAAAAACCCATTTCAAAATTTGTAACACTAGCTCCATATTCTAAAGTATTACATATTTTGTAGATTACTATCTTAATACTAAGTAAATTAATATTTTTGTCAATGTTTTTTTTCATTTATAATGTTATTTATTTACTACATGTACATGTTTTGTATTTCTTTTTGAAGTCAAAGTAATTTTCTTCTTCTCTATTAAAAAAAAGTAATTTCTAAAATTTGATTAACTTTAAATAAATTAATTAATTTTGTTAATGTTTAAAAATTAATGCATGATGGAATTCAAAATTAAAAGTTTTTGATAATTTTTTTTAAAAATAATTTATAAATAATTTTTTAATTAATTAACTGTTTGCTTTTAAGAAAAGATCGCTCAGGTGACGCCGGTTGCGTTCGGGGACGTTAACCCTAGTGTAGGTCATTTTACACCTGGGCGATTTTATTTTCTCGAGTACAATCTGTAGGTAGAGTATTCGGGAAAAATAGTTAAGGATAATTTTTCGTTTTAAATATAGCAGTAGGCAGGAAATTCGGTAAAAGAGTAGGTCAATTTTTTTTCCGTTTTTAAATATATAGCTGTAGGTAGGGAAATCGGGTAAAAAAATGTAAGTAATAAGTAACTGAAGTACCAGTGAAAATTATTTTTATTTCCATTTTTTATTTTTTTCGTTGTCACTATGTTTTACATTTTAATATTTTGTAAATGTATTGTTTAAAATTGATAATTATTTTCAGTTGACTCATCGTGGTAAGAAATAATATTTAATTTTAATTTTGATAATCATTTATTTTTTCAGAAATATGTAATTTATTATTATTATTCTTGATCTATTTAAATCTTTTTAAATATATTATATTTAATATATATTTAATTATATTATTATAATATATAATATATTTTAATATTTAATATAAAAATTTTCAAATTTTCTGTCGCACTCACTCTCATGCGTTGCCATGGTAACCTGCAGGCAGCCAAAAAGGTGTGAGTGCGCCTTAAGAATTTAGAAAATAGAATTTTAAATAAAATTTCAATTACAAATTTTTTTATTTATGCAAATTTTTCGGATATTTGTGTGTAAATTTTATTATTCAGCATTGCGATCAGTTTAAGCGCAGCTATTTTATTTTTTATTACTGTGAGTGTTATTACCATTTCGAGAAAATTTGATTTTAAGTAAGTACAATTATTATTTTTATTTCCATATTCTAAATATATACGATTGTCCTTCTCGTACTCATAGTTACAAGAAACACCTCCAATGTCTTCCAGTTTGCGGCCATATTGGATTTCCCTTACACAATTTGAACTATCCATTCCCAAAGAACTGAAATGTATTTTACACTCAATTTTATTTTTCGTTTTACTCTCAATAGTTATTATCAATTCTTTATTTTTCGTAAAATTTCTTTTTAGATTTTTTTTTTACAATTTCACTTTTCTTTTTTACGCGAAAAATAATGTGTCATATTTCGGACGTTTCACCAGAGACTTGTTTGTTCGGCGACTCCATGTCGTAGCGCTGTGAATAAGCCTTTAGGTTTGAAGTTAGCGCTTTTTGGAACATCGACGCTGTAGACCTTTTCTTTTGTTAAAAGTCCTCCTTATCGGAAAGGTAACGTGAATTTTTTCATTAAAAAATCCATTAAAATCGTGTAAAAATATTGTTTTTCTTGAAAGTTTTTTTTCAAAATATTATTCTCGTTACCTTTTTATTGACAGGGCTATAAATATTTTTTGTGAAATAGTGTTGTTGTTACTTGTAAACAAAAACGTGATATATTTCTAACCTATAAAATGTTTTATGTGAAATATTGTTGAATTTTTAGTTAATTTTAAATATTTATTTAACAAATTTTGTTTATTATATTATTTTTCTAAAACTGTTATTTTGTGGAAATAGTTTTAAATGAAGTTTATAAAAAATGAGAAAAGTATAAGTGGAACGAAAAAAAATTTGTTTTCGTTGACAGATAATTATAACCTGGATTATTTTTTTTACTTTATTGTATTTGCTTTTTATTGAAATTTCTTATATAAAATAAATATAAAATAAAATTGCGTATAACGATTGTGTGGTTTTAAATAATATTTATTATTTTCAAGGAAAAAAATTTTTTTTTTTTGACATTTTTTTATGCAATTTACCAACAGTGATAATTTTTTAATTTTAATTCTATAAAAGTGAATAACCAAAAGTGGAAAATAGTCATTCTGAATATATTTTGTTTAAAAGTGGTTTGAATAGTTAATTAAAATGTTATTTAGAAAAATTTGTTATTTTAATATTTTCTTTCAATTATTTTTTTGATAATAATTTTTTTCTGATTCGTTGGTTAATTAAGGTTAATTAATTCCTAATTTTTGTAGAAAAATTCAAAATAATTTTCTATTTTTTTTTTTTTTTTTTTTTAAATTTGAATTGTCAAAAAAATTTTATCGGAAAGTTAAAAATATTTTTCATTTTTGAATTTTTTGAATAATTTTTTTAATTGGCTTATTTTATTCAAATTTAATTTTTATTGGAAAGTTAAAAATATTTTTCGTTTTTAATTTTTTTGAATAATTTTTTTAATTGGCTTATTTCTTTTGGATTTAATTTTTATAGGAAAGTTAAAAATATTTATCGTGTTTTTTTTCTTTCCTTTTTTTTTTTACAAAGTAAAATTGATTAAATTTTGAAAATTTATTTTTGAATCTTTAGGCAAAATGGTGAAACCAGGAGAGAAGAAAGGCAAAAGTGCCATCAATGAAGTTGTAACACGAGAATACACAGTGAATCTCCACAAACGTCTTCATGGCATTGGTTTCAAATACCGAGCACCAAGAGCAATCAAGGAAATTCGTAAATTCGCTGAAAAACAAATGGGAACTCCAGATGTTCGAATTGATACACGTCTAAACAAACAATTATGGTCCAAAGGAATTAGGTAAAAATTATTTATATTTTCTTGTTTTTTTTTTTCTTTTTATTTTTAATCTTTTTATAATGTTTAATAATAATAATATTTGATATTTTTAAAATAAATTTCATGTTACCTAGAAATATTATTTAGTTAATGAATATAATTTTTTTATATTTAGAAAAACTATATAATCCAGGTCTTGAATCATAAATTAAAGAAAATTACATAATCTTCAAAAAAAAAAAATTTTTATTAAAATTCAAAATAACGTGAAATAATTTTTATAAATTAGATTGAAAACAATTTTAAGAAGAAAAATTCATAATAAACTTGAAAATTTGAATGAATAATGCTTTAAACCAAATTTTTTAGAATTATGATTTAATAGAATCTTATTTAGAATATTAATTTTGCAGGATATTTATTTGTTCGAATATTAATGTTTTAGAAAATGCAAATGGACGAAAATTAATTTGCCAGAAATTCAACTTGATCGTAACTTTGTCTTCTAAAATATTAATTTTGCAGAATTGTAATTTAAAAGAATCATAATTTTGTAGAATATTCATTTGCTGAATTAATAATGTTTCAGAAAATTAAAATGATTGAAAATCAGTTTGCCAGAAATAATTCGGTGGAAACTTCAAATTTGAAGTTTTCGCCGAATTATTTCTTGCAAATTTAAATTCGATCATTTTAATTTTATCTAACATTATTAATCGAGCAAATGAATATTCTGCAAAATTAATATATTCTTTCTAATCCTCTTTTTGCAAAATTAAGATTCTTTTAAATTTCAATTTAATTCTGAAAGCTGTTGTTTCAATTCTGAAATACTCTAAATATAATAAATAGTATAAAAATAATAATTAAAAATGTATGCAGCCTTTTTTCAAAAAAGTTGTCTAAAATGTAAATTCATAGAAAATTAAATAAAAAAAAAAAAAAAAAAAAAAAAAAAAAAAAAAAAAAAAATATTCAGAAAATGTTTGAATTAGAAAAGTTTGAGCTTATAGAAATTTTTTAAAAAAATTCTAACTTAAATATAAATTTTCAAAAATTATTTAAAAAAAACTTAATTATTCATAGTATTCACTATTTTTAGAACTTTTGAGTATTTTATTTCGTTTATAGATTTAAAATCAACAATTTATAATAATAAAAACTAGAAATTTTGATAAGTAAATTGTTAATTATTTTTATTTGTACGCAAAGTACGTAATTTGTAACGTGAAAAACACTTTGAGGTCTGAAAAATCGTTTTTCTTTTTAATTTACATAAAAAATTTTAAATTCTTGCTTCTTAGTAATTTTTTGTTTTTCATTAAATACTGAAATGGTAAATTTAATAATACAAACATCAAACATTATTTATAATTTTTTTTAGGACCTAGAAGTTTTTATATTATAAAATTATAATTTTTTTTGAAATTGAATTTTTACTCTAAAAAGAACTGTTTTTTCTCTTTTAATTTTTAACTTATTTGAATAAATGACTAAAATGTAATAAATGATTTAAAAAAATTTACTAACGAATTAATTAAAAACTTTTTTTTTTTTTTTTTTTTTTTTTTTTTTTGTTAATGTATTAATGAAAAACTATTCTTTATTAATTCATTAGGAAATTTTCTAAAATTTTATTACATGTTAGTCATTTATTCAAATTAGTTAAAATGTTTATACTAATTGAAATTAAAAGAGAAAAAACGTACTAATTTTGCAGACGAAAAATAATTTAACTCTTAAATGAAAAGAAGATTGATTTTTTTTTAACAAGAAAAAATTAATTTAAACTAAATGTAAAATTTAAGTACAATAATTCTTAATTGTTTACAAATAAAATAAACTTACATTTTAATTAAATCAATTATATTAATATACAATTAAATTAATGAAATAATTACGTTGAAAATATTTTTATTGAAAAAAAATTTTCATAATTTTTCCGAGTTTGTTAATTTTTTAGAAATTTGTAAAATTTAGAGTACACATTTATTTATATAAAAAGATTAATTTTCAAGTGTCCAGTATTTAGTATTAAAATTATCGGGAAAAAAACCCGAATTTTTTTTACTTCAAGTGATGCTTTTTCATTAATAAAAAAAAAATAATAATAATATGAAAAATTAACTATAATAATTTCCGTATTCATTCATTCCGTCTGTCCACACTTGAAGTTAGTCGTATTTTGTTTCTTTTGTTTTTCTAAAATTTTGACAATTCTTGATTTCGTAATATTTTATGGTTAACGCGACGGATATTTTTATTCATCGTCATTAATTAAGTTATAAAGTAAAAAAAAAAATATTGTTCATTGTGTGCAGCACCAGTATATTTCCTACTTGGTATTTATAGAAAAAAAAGTTTCAATTATAATATAATTTTTATTATTATTTATAAATTTATTATATTATATATACATTTTTTTATATAATGATTATTACAGATAAGTAGAACATTTTAACTTATAATTATTATTTCTTTCATTATTTTTTCACTATTCATTATTATTTATTATATATTATTATTATTAATTTGTTTTTATTATTAATTATTAAATTGTTATATTTTTTTATCTGTAAACAATATAAAAATAGTTTGCTTTTTTAAAAAAATTTCAATTTGATTTTAATTTTTAATTTAAGTTTAAAGTTTAAAACATTACAAAGTTTGTTTTAGGTTTTATTTTTTCAAAATTTTTAAATATATTTTAATTGCTTAATACTTTTTAAAATATAATTAATAATTTTCAGTTAATTTAAATTTCTTTTTGATTACATAATTTTTTAATATTTATTAATTATCAAGTTAATTAAATTTAAAAAAAAACATAAATTAAAAATTTTCATTTGCAACGAAATATTTATAGAAAATACAAAAAAATATTTAGCAAAACTAATTTTTTGTAATTTGAAAGATTATAAAAAATCATCAAACATTGACCTTATCAAAAATATTTATTTCTAAAATTTTAATATTTATATTTTAAAATTTTTACTTAAAAATCTTATTTTTTTTACTATCAATTCACAAAAAAATGATCTTACTCGTTATATACATTCTGTCAATAAGAAAATCCATTCGTCAGTAATATCTTTTATCCCAACAATCTCTGCCTTTTCGTATAAAGTATACATAAGTTACAAAGAATATTTTAATCATAATTGACACAACATAATTAATTTTTCTCGGCATTTCAATTGGCGGCGGTTATGTTGGCGATACTAGAATTGATTTATCAACATTTACACCGCCAATTGTAACTATTGGTTTTAATTTATGTTTTTCTTATCATCACTTTTTCGATAGGTTATTTCTTGGGTTTTCATTGTTGTTACCGTCAACAATCGAACAAATAGTTTTACAAGTTTATTAAATTTAAAAATTAACTTAGCTAAATTATTTTTGCTGTATTAACTATAATTATGAGCTGGCTTAACTAAAAAATCACTATTTATATAACATCAAACTCATTTTTTTCTGTGTATAATTATTAATTTATTAATAATAGGTGCGCGCGTGTAATTTTGCTAGTAATAATAATAATAATAATAATAATAATAATAATAATAATAATAAAACATTTTAAATATATTTCTCTATTTGCCTAAAGGAATATTTTTTCAATTGAAATTAAATTTTGAATTTTTATTATTACAATTACAGAAATGTACCTTTCCGTGTTCGTGTGAGGCTCAGCAGGAGGAGAAACGACGACGAGGATTCAGTAAACAAATTATATACTCTTGTTACATATATTCCCGTCGGTACATTCAAGGGTCTCCAAACAGAAAATGTAGACGCGAGTCAAGATTAAATTTCTAATTAATAAATTCCTTTGATCATAAATTTTTTACTTGCAGTTATTTTTCTCTCATCCTACTCCAATTTTATATAGGTAGCAGATGATGTTTTAATACAATAAATAATTCTTTTTTTATTAATAAAAAAAAAAATTCTAATAAAAAAAAGGCATACAGATAGCAAATTTTTGTCAGTTATTATAAAAAGTAAAAAAAAAAACACGAAAATTTTAGAAAAGAAAACACAATAAATAAACCTTTTTTTTATTTCAAATAAAAAATTGTTCATATTTATAAATTTCAAATAAAGACTATAAGAAAGTAACAAAAAATTATTTGTGACATATATATATATATATATAACTATTTCTGACTAAAAACAATTATTTTTTGAATTTTTTATTTGGTCTTTCGAAAAATAACTTAGCAATTCTATGTTTGTTTACTTTTTAAATTAATAATAATACCTAAATCATAGCTCTTAATGTGAAACTTTGTTAACTAGTATTAAACCTTTGTAGAGGAATAGAAAATGCGGATTAAAATACATTAAATCTGTTATAACTCATAAATGAATCTTAAATTTAAGTTTTCACAAAATGTCTAAAATCGACTTAAGCCGTTTTTCCGGCAAACGGTTCAAATATGTGAAATAAAAAGAAAATGGAGATTTTAAGGAGACGGAAAGTTAAAAAAACAAGTTGTAAATTCAAATGTTCATTAAATGAACATTTTGCTTCCTCTTTACGATCACCAAAAAAATTCAATTTTTCTTAGGCAGACGATTTTATTCCATATTCTCGCACAAAGTACACCGAAAAGTGTAGAAAAAAATTGACACCCAAATCCGAGTAGAGGAAGGCCCTTTTTATGACCAAAAACGCATCCAAAAGCATAGAAAACTTAACAAAAAAATTCAATTTTTCTTAGGCAGACGATTTTATTGCATATTCTTGCACAAAATACACCTAAAAGTGTAGAAAAAAATCGACAGCCAAATCCGAGTAGAGGAAGACCTCTATTACCACCAAAAAGTCATCCAGGTCCAAAATAAAATTTCCAAAAAAATTCAATTTTTCTTAGGCAGACGATTTTATTGCATATTCTTGCACAAAATACACCGAAAAGTGTAGAAAAAAATTGACACCCAAATCCGAGTAGAGGAAGACCCTTTTTATGACCAAAAACGCATCCAAAAGCATAGAAAACTTAACAAAAAAATTCAATTTTTCTTAGGCAGACGATTTTATTGCATATTCTTGCACAAAGTACACCGAAAAGTGTAGAAAAAAATTGACACACAAATCCGAGTAGAGGAAGACCCTATTTATGACCAAAAACGCATCCAAAAGCATAAAAAACTTAACAAAAAGTTGTAAATGCAGATGTTCATTACATGAACATTTTGCTTCCTCTTTACGATCAGCAAAAAAATTTGCTTCCTCGTGGAGAAAGCAAAATTTTATTGCCAAAACGTGATTTTGATTTTTTAACTTTTATTAATTCTTTAAATTTACCTCAAATGTATACTTTATATATATCGATCGATTCGTCTTGACGTAAAGAATACAATTTATTATATATAACCTTAAATTTTTCTATTTAAAAATTTGTTAGATTAAAAAAAAATTTTTTGGGAAAAGGACTATAAAAAAATTTTTTTTTGAGTATTTTTCAAAATCCTTGGGTCAGATTTGAGATATTAATATGATAAATGAGCCTACTAAATTTTATCTAAATCCATTAAAACCTGTTAAAGTTATCTTTTAAACAAAGAATGGATCCACACGTCTCTAGTCTTCTTGATCCACACACACACACACACACACACACATACACACACATACACATACACACACATACATACATCCGGACAATTGATCAGGATCTCATATAACATGTTTCTGTAAAGAAAAAAATTTGTTTCCGCCACTTTGAAAAGTTTTATAAACGAAAGGACTACAAAGCTTCCTCCACGAGGAAGCAAAATATTGAAAAAAGAATTAAAAAATTTTCTAATTAATTAATTCTTTTTATAAATGAAAAATAATTTCCAAATTTTTACATACAACAAAAAATTTTAATATTAATGAAGCAAAATAAATACGAATTTACAATATTAAAATTTGAATGAAACTTATATTTAAAATCAAATTACTAATACAAGCATTGTAGTCGGCCACTTGCGGTCGATATCTTAAGGACCAACTTTTATTTATCGACATCGGATAAGGTAGAAAATAGTGACTAAATATCATCCTAATTTTCAATAATAGGAATAAACAAAAATTTTATACATATAGTATTTACACTTTTTTTTTTATAAACTATGTACAAAATTTTTACACTAATATTTTTGAAATTAGGCTTACATTTAGTCAATAATTTCTACCTTACCATATTTTCTATAAGTAAAAGTTTGTTCGTTAGATGTCGTTGCTTTAAGAAAATAATTGTTTTGCATCTCCGCAAGAGAACCCTTTAGATTGAGTAGTGTTGGGTATGAAACTTTTTTTCTCTTTTGGAATAAGCGTTGATGAATTAATATTTTTTAAGCTTCTAATGAAATTTCGAAGGAAAGTTTCCACTGAAAAGTTGACTTTAACATTTTTTTCAAAAATTTTATTAACACTACAAAAGAATTTCAATTTTTTTTATTTCTGGGACAGCATGTGGTGATTCTTATAGGTTTTTTTGACGCTGAACACGAATCCGTAATCAGTATTGCACCATCACTCTAAGTTTTCGAGAAATTTGTCCTTGAAAATTGAAAAAATCCCAATTGCATAAAGGTCTGAGCAGAATAGAAACGTAACCGGAAGGAAGGAAGGACAAACAATCTATCTATCCTTCTCTAACTCATTCTTCTGGTTGGGTTTACGATACGATTCCGGTTACGTTTCCCTTCTGCTTAGGCCTTATAAGCTGTTTTTTCAGTTTGACGCCATTTTGAAAAGTCGTGGAACTTCTATAATAATTTTATTAGTTCATGGTGTTGATTACAATAAGCCACGAACTAATAAAATTATTATAGAAGTGTCACGACTTTTCAAAATGCCATCAAACTGGAAGGACAGCATTTAATGCCTGAGCAGAATAGAAACGTAACCAGAAGAATGAGTTAGGGAAGGATAGACATATTGTTTGTCCTTCTCTAACTATCATTATTCCGGTTACGTTTCTATTCTGCGTTAGCCTTTAGGCAATTGGGTTGAAAAAAAGGATTTTAAAGACTACATAGACAGATATAAAACTTCAACTCGAGATAGAATTATAAATTAAAAACTATTTTTTGATTTTAAAGATCGTTATTTTTTTTAAAAATATGTCGCTTTTTAAAACAGTATAAATAGTTATACAATGTTGTTTTCATAAAAAAAAAATTGTTTCCCCTTTTTTGCTATATGGCATACAGTAATATTGTAATCAGCTTGTTTTTGTTGTCGGGTGTATATATATAACCAATGGAGAGAAAAATAATTATTCGCCCATGGAGAAATATATTACACTGTATTCCTGTGGGCCAAAGCAGTAGCAGTAGCAGCACGTGGTATGGGGTGTGGTACGAGAACACGGTAACCAATATTTAATCAACTTTGCAGAGGAGCATTATTCTCCGGACAAATCAAGGACATATGTACTAGACCACCAAAGGGCAAGGGGGGAATGTGTACAACTACAGAGAGTCTCCACGGACAGAGTTAAGGGGACGATTTTCGTGCATTACAGATCACGCACATATATATAGGGACGCAAATATAGAATTTTTAAAACTTCATAGTCATTTTGACATATTTGGACACGTTTGTGACTGTATCTGTCAAAATAAGATGAAATTTGATAACATGTTTTTTATATTACAATAATATAAGATTCGTACACCTAATTGCATAAATACTGTCCTTCTGGTTTGACGACATTTGGAAAAGTCGTGACACTTCTATAATAATTTTATTAGTTTGTGGCGTAATTTAAACAACACCATAAACTAATAAAATGATAATAGAAGTGTCACGACTTTTAAATATTATTATGTCGAAGAAAAAAAGTTATTGTAGAAGTAACTTAATGTACCTTTAAGGCATTGGTTGGTTTTTATTATCCTCATTCGACATTTGTCATAATTCTCGAGAACTACCGCACCCTGCTCTAGTGAAAATTCAGTAACCTTATAGTAACTTTGAATTTTAACAATAAAGTCACTAAATTTTCACTAGAGCAGGGTGCGGTAGCTGACAATAATTATGACAAATGACGAGTGGGGACAATGGAAACCAACCCATTTTTTATAGTGTATCGTACGGATGTCCTAGGGATATCTGGTGGTTTTTTTTTCATGTTTAAATATCCTTAGAGTGAAATCACATGGTGGCGTAAAGCGTCAAATTTTGTAACTAGACCATATGTATGAAAAAAAATACTTTTACCCTTCTTGCACTCATGATCTAGTTCCAAAATTTGACGCTTTACGCCACCAAGTGATTTCACTCTAAGGATATTTAAACATGAAAAAAAAACCACCAGATATCCCAAGGACATCCGTACGATAAACTATAAAAAATGAGTTGGTTTCCATTGTCCCCGCTGGTCATTTGTCATAATTATTTTTAACTACCGCACCCTGCTCTAGTAAAAATTTAATGACTTTATTGTTAAAAATTAAAAGTTACTATTAGCTTACTGAATTTTCACTAGAGCAGGGTGCGGTAGTTGTCGAAAATTACGACAATTGGCGAGTGGGGACAATAAAAACCAACCAATGCCTTAAAGGTACATTAAGTTACTTCTACAATAACTTTTTCTCTTCGACAAAATAATAACATTTGGAAAAGTCGTGACACTTCTATAATAATTTTATTAGTTCGTGGCGTAATTTATACACTACGCCACGAACTAATAAAATTTTTATAGAAGTGTCACTACTTTTCAAAATGTCAAACTGAAAGAATTTCTACAATAATTTTTTTAGTTTGTGGCGTAATGTGAACACCACGAACTAATAAGATTATTATAGAATTGTTACGACTTTTCAAAATATCATCAAATCGGATGGACAGCATTTATGCAATTGGATGCGTGTATAAATTCTAAAGTTAAACGGATATGTAATAGACTTTTACACACTACATCACAGTGTATCATGGTCTTCCTAAGCTTCAGTAAAAATAATTTATTGATGATATAGTTGGGGTTAATAAAATGACTAAAATGAATTACGACGAGTCCAAAACGGTGAGAAGCATGAACACCGTTTACAGTCCTTTTTTTTGGGAAGAGGGGGGGGGTGGAATATACGTTCTTCCAGTAGGGATTGCTTTAGGCTCTTTATTATCAAAAGTATAGCGGCGCAGCGTATGTGGCACTTTGTGTACCATGAATTCCCCAGAGTGTAAGATTCAGAAAGAGGGTAAACGCGCGCTCGAGTATTCTTGTATTCGTGAGAACAAGTGCTGAGCAAGTGTCGCACCCGACGACCCCTGTTTTCTCTCGAAAAAGCCCACGGGACATCTCGTGCCGGTCGTGCCCTTTACCTTTAGACACCTCCCTGAACGTCCGAATGTCGATATGTCAGACGCATATCACTGTTGCCGATCCACTCACACACACACACAAACGTGCAGCTTCATCTTTACCTAACGTTAATAATTAAACAGGTACTTTGATCATGTTCTGTCGGTTGAATATTGAAACATTAATCGACTATTTTTCACATTAGGAAAATTGCTAGTTTTCGATATATGAAGAAATAAAAGATTTTTAAATTGCGCACTTTTATTATTATGATATTTTAAAAAGTCATGAAACTTCTATAATAATTTTATTAGTTTATGGCGTATGGTATTTACTTTACGCCACGAAGTAATAAAATTATTGTAGAAGCAGTTTGACATTATTTTGAAAAGTCGTGACACCTCTATAATAATTTTATTAATTTATGGCGATGAACTAATAAAATTATTGTAGAAGTCCTTCCGATTTGACACTATTTTGAAAAGTCGGTAACACTTTCTAGAACAAGTTTATTAGTTCGTGGCCTAATGTACATATCCAGAGAAAAGATTTCTTTGATTTAAAGAAACCAATTTCTTTGGCTTTTTTTCAGTCAAAATAAAATTTCCTTTAAAATAAAAAAGATTCTTATTTTCAAAGAAAATTTCTTGAAATCAAAGAAATTAATTTCTTTGAATCAAAGAAATCTTATTTCTGAGTGTATATACACCGAACACGCCATGAACTAATAAAATTATTAAAGAAATGTAATAACTTTCCAAAATGCCAAATTTGTGTTAAAAAAATTCCTATAAAAAAAACCATCTAATTTTTATGTGTTCAGAATCGTATAACCTCTCTTAAACCACAAAGAAATATATAGTAAAACCTTTTTTCCACATAGAAATATATATATATGTAATCTCGATTATAATTTAAAAATAATGAAAACACTTAGTGGGGGGAAATAAATTATTATATGCCATAACTAAAATCTGAAAATCAATGTAATTTGAGAAATAGACTAAAAGGGGAAAATTTTGTAAGTCCATCACGTGTATTGAATTCTTGATTAGAACACAAATCATGGTAAAGTGCGGCTCGTGTCCAAAAGCTTTGGGATCCTCCCTCAACAAGTGCGTTTACATATTTTTTTCCTGAAGGGTAAAATCCCGATAGAGATGTTTGGGAATTAATTTCCATCCGCCACGTGTAGATATATATATACCTTATCGATACTTAATATCTTTATGATCTACAATAACAATATTATTCTTTTGTCTAAAGGTGATAATATTTTCTCCACTCCCCATGTAGAATTCATGTATAAATATAAAATTTTACTACCAAGCAATAAGCTTATATAACAATTTGTTTGGAATAATATTACCTTGTTTATTCTGAAGCCAAAAAATTTAAAAAAAAAAAAATTGTTTCAATAAAACTTTTTTTCTTCGCCGTGAAACCAAGATGAAGAATTCTAAAGAAATTAACGATTAATTTAAAATTTGTAATTCGACCAAAAATTTATATTTTTTAAAATTATTTTAATAAAAACTAGTCATTTTTTAATAATAAATTATTATACACCCAATTGCATTAATGCTGTCTTTCCGGTTTGACGTCATTTTGAAAAGTTGTGTCACTTGTGTAATAATTTTATTAGTTCGTTGCGTATATATACTCTAAAGGCCTGAGCAGAATAGAAACGTAACCGCGAAATCGTAATTGCAAACGCAACCGGAATAATGAGTTAGAGAAGGACAAACAATATGTCTATCTTTCTCCAACTCCTTCATTCAAGTGCGTTTGAGATTATGATTCCGGTTATGTTTCTATTCTGCTCATAGGCCTTAATGGAGGACGGTCACACATCAACGAAATCTAATGAATGTTTAGTAACTTTCTAGTTACAACCGAAATTTTTGGAAAATTACTGGATAGTTACTAAACATTCACTAGATTTCGTTGAAGTGTGCACGCATGCACAGTGCATTTTTCGAAATACACAAACCTGATTGGTTGTTCACAATCTGATTGATAATAGACAACCAATCAGATTTGTGCATTTTGGAAAATCAAAGTAAAATTTTTTTTTTACCAAAGGTGTAAATCCTCCATATAACGAATACGCAGTTTTTGCCGTATATGCCTACACTTTTTGTTCTTTTCTATATAAGGCATATGTGTTGCCATAACAAGTCGTGTGTTAGAAATGGACAAATAATTGTTAGGCATATTAAGGCCTAAGCAGAATAGATTCTTGAACGGTAAGGCAATCGTGAACGCAAACGTAAGCATGTGTAAGAGAAGAATAACGATATTTGCTATCCTTCTCTTACACATTCTTACGTTCCCGTTCAAGAATCTATTCTGCCTTTACTACCACGACTGTATAAACCATACGGCCATGAACTAATAAAATTATTATAGAAGTGTTACGACTATTCGAAATGCCGTCGAACCGAAAGGAAAGCATTTATGAAATTAGGTGTACCATGCCAAGTGGGTCAATTTTTGTTAATCCCTATTGAACATCATAAAGAATTTAAGATTTAAGAAATCGTACAAACGCCGCCTTTAATTGCTAATTATATTTCTCATTAATCGCTTAATGATTCGATTTCAACAAAAATGAATTATCTCACAATTTTTTTAGAATTACGATTCCAAGTAATTGGATAATTTAGACCCAATAAACTTATCCATATAGCTTCAATATATGAAAAAATAAAATACTCATAACGTTTCCACGATTACAAGAAGGTCGAAAAAAAGGAACAAAAATGAGTCATAAAACTAACACTTGTGAGTGTGGGAAAGATGAGGAAAGTCGTAGAAAGAACAATTTCGCTAAAATCAGTTTTCTTAGAGGAGGTTTTCTCGTTTTTTTTTTTTTTTCTTTTTTTTTGTGCAGAGAAGGCATGCTGGAAGCATTAGGCATCATCGGGAGGGGGGGAGAGTGAGCGAGAGCGTGTTGTTCGTTTTAACATGATGGTCGTGTGTCTGGAAATGGATGGGGGGATGATTTTTGGAAGAAGGGGTTGAGGTGTAGTTGGATATATAGGGAGGAGTCGTTTAAGGGGAGGATGGCAGCGGTACTCGTTGGGGATGTCGTGGTTCAACCAATAGAATTCATTCACAAGGGGTGCGAAGCCATCTCTCTCCCGGAGGCCACGCCCTTCAGCGCCCTCCATCCGTTATTGAATTAAGCTTATCATTTGATTTTGAGGAGACCCACCAGTCGGTCGTCTCAGCCGCTCTTAGCGGGTTACGAAAAAGTTTCCTATCAAGAGATAATCGCAATAATTTGATATCGCTGATCCGATTACTTCATAACCTCCTCGCCCTGCGTTTGGAGAGGTGGAGACGAGTTATCTTACTGAGGAGCCATACAAACTCTCGTGCTCGCTTCTTCTGGTTAAGAGACCGGTGTGCCCCGATTTTTCATATAGAATCGGCTCAGTCGAGGGCCAGCGCGCGAGCGCGCGTGCGCTCCTTACCATCCTTTGGGATCGGTAATTATTTTTTTAATATCGTCGGTAGCAAGTTGAAAAAATAGTATAATTAATTCACGGAGGGGAAATTTGTTTTTTTTTTATTTTCTGATGCAGTGAAGGGAAGGGAAGGGGAAAAGAAAGTGAGACCACCAGGTGGCGGGAGGTGTTTTTCTCCCGCAAGTGAGAATGGACTACTCGTATTTGAATCAAGCGGCGGCTGCAGCGGCGGCTGGTTTTGAAGCTTCAAGTTGTGCATTGGCAGCTAGTGAAATGCAATGTGGTTATGGGGACTTAAGTTCGTGTTCTCAAATGAGTCAGGCGGCTTATCGATATACAGCGGCCAGGGCTGGGTATCCTAGTAATAGTGGTGGGGCTGGTGCCGGTAATCCATTGGGCTCGCATCATGGGGCCCACTCTCATGCGCATGCGCATCATGGCTCTCACGCTACCACCTGCTCCGTTATGGCCGCTCGGTCCCAGGAAGTTCATCGTCACTCCGCTGCCATCTTTCCGTCCACTATTAATCTTCAAGGTATTTTTTTTTTTTTTACACTTCAATTATTTTTTCGTTGATATTTGGTTAGATTAAAGAAAATTTAATTAAAATTAAATTAACCATTCCTTCTGGTTTGACACTACTATATTTTGAAAAGCCGTCACACCTTGTATAAAAATTTTGTTAGTTTACGGCGTTTACATTATGTCATGAACTAATAAAATTGTTGTAGAAGTCTTTCCGCTTTAACGGCTTTTTGAAAAGTCATGACACTTCTATAATAAATTTATTATTTCGTGGCAAAATGTATACGCACCGTACATCACGAACTAATAAAATTGTTATAGAAGTGTCACGATTATTCAAAATGCAGTCAAACCGAAAGGACTTCTACAATAATTTTATTAGTTCGTGGCGTAATGTATATAAGATATAGGCCATGAACTAATGAAATTATTACAAAAGTGTAAAATGTCGTTAAACCGGAAGAACAACATTTATGCAATTGTGTTTAATAAAACCTTGCCATTTCTTTTTTTCAGAATTTATAAAAAGCTAATATTTCATTAGTCTAAGCGACCGAATGGCATTGATAGTTGTTTTTATTTTTAAAAATAGATTTCTTTGTAAATTTTTATTTTGTTTTCGAGACCCATGAGATTTCTTTAACGCGTATAAAGTTTCAAAAGTATAAAATGAGAATTTTCTATACTCAGCTGTTTTTAGTGAGTTTTCAATCTAGGTACAGTCGGTAAAGTAGATCTCGATGGCGCGTTTTTTGAAAAATATAGTAGAATATTAATATAATTATATATAATTTATAAAAATCTGGATATTTCAAATTGTATCGTGAATTTCGAAAAACCGTAAGTGTCATTTTAGCATAACAATTGATAGTGAAAATGACTTACTGTTTTCAGAGTTAAACTTTTTTCGAAATTCACATTTCAATTGTAATAACCAGAATGTTATGTAAAAAACGATTTTAAAGAATAATACATAAAAATTTTAATAACAAAATGTCTTCATTGTTATTGAAAAACAATAAAATTTTATTTTTAGAAAATAAAAATACAACAAAATTATATCTGACTTTAAAAAAACAAAATTGTGGGAATTGAATTTTTCTTATACAGGACTTTTTGAAGGAAGAAGTAATAATTAATGCATATTGACTGACATTTATTAAAACGGGAGAAGTAACTTTAATAATAAATTGGTATTAATTGCGAGCTGCTATATAATTCGTAAATAATTAATTAGTAGGAACTTATAAGTAATTTTCAAAATACTTCTTGTTTTTAATAAAAAAAAAAAACTATAAATTTTAGATATTGTATCCGGAAACGATTCGTTTAAATAAAAACGTTTTGTATATTATACTATATTTGAAATTTAAAAATGATCGAATTATCATTTTTTCACTTAATTTATTCCTTTTGTTAGTTTCATGTAAAAATAATTTTTATTTATAGACTTTAATATAGAAATTACTTTAGAAATACACGGATATATGTTCATGTATAAGTGATTTCATTAATTAAAAATAAATTTTCACTTTGTGAGAGTTTTAATATAAATTATTTCTCCGCGGTTTTATTATTTCGAATCAAAATATTTTTTTTTTTCTTGAATTAAAGAAAAGATTTTTTAGATATTATTTTGTTGTATAAGTACACCCTGATGTTATTCCGGTTTGACCGTCTTTGGAAAAGTCGTGACACTTCTATAGTTTGTGGCATATGGTGTATACATTACGCCACGAACTAATAAAATTATTATAAAAAGATAACAATTTCCCAAAATTTTAGCCTTCCGGTTTGACAACATTTTGAAAAGTCGTGACACTTCTATAATAATTTTATTAGTTCGTGGCGTAAAGTAAATACCATACGCCATGAACTAATAAAATTATTATAGAAGTGTCACAGCTTTTTAAAATGACCTCAAACCGGAAGGACAGTATTTATGAAATTATGGAATTGTATATTTGGTTTTACATCCATAAAAAAAAAGAAATAAAAGAAAGGAAATTATACCGACGATAAGAGAAAACCATATATGTATAAAATTAAATGAATCAAGATGATGTGACAAAAAATTAAATTAAAATTAACATCAATTTTTGACAGAATGTCACAGAGACATGTCTGAATGTCTGTAGGAAAACGAGATATTATACTTGTGAGTTAACGTCGGTTGAAGCGACGACAAGATGGCACTGAAAATCAATGGATGGGATCTCTTGTCTCTTTCCTTCTGAACATTTCCTCTCGACGGAGGGATATTCTCTCTTCCTTCATCCCTTTTCGAATCCTTTTTTACCCCATCATCCCTATTTCGTATCTCTCTATCTCTCTCTCTCTCTCTCTCGTGTTTCTCCCTCTTTCCCTCCCTCTTTCGCTTTGTGTTTGTCTTTCTGTCGCTCTTGGAGTTCCTCTCATCCCGTATAACTTCCATTCCTCCTCCCCCCTCTCACTCAGTCATTGCTATGGTTACGTCCCTCACTGTACCTACCAAGCAGCCATCCTCGCAACCATCGAATTTCTTCTTCCGAACAATTACCAGAGAGAAGGAAATTTTATTTTCCTAAATTCATATTCTACTGTCTCGCACCTCTGTTTAACTTTTATGGATATATGTAAAACTATTTCGAAAATTATAATTTTTCAAATTTAATAATGTAATTTGTATTTGGAATTAGGGTATAACGTTAATTGTAATATAAAAATTTCTAAATTAAAATAATATATTTTGATATTTCACATTTATCTGTAGAAACAGTTATGATTTTAATATATATGCATCCAATTGGATAAATTTTCTTCTTTTCTATATCATTTGTGAATCTATTGTGCATTGACCTTTATATCAAACGCCATGAACTAGTAAAATTATTATAGAAGTGTCGAGACTTTTAAAAATGTTGTCCAACCGAAATAAAAGTCGTAACATACTCAAGGGAAATTTTTTCGTTAAAAAATTTTAGGTTATGTTTGTGATTTTTTTAAAGAAAATACGAAACATATGTTTATGTTTTAAGCGAGTCTTTATTTATAAATTACGAAATTCTTCTATATTTATAGAAAATTTTATATATAGAATTGATAGAAACCACAAATTAAAATTCGTTATACAATTTCAATAAAATTACAAAAATTTTTTTAATAAAATTAGAATATTTATCATTTGTATTTAAATTTTTAGTATAACGATGTTTGCATTCTTAATTGCAGTTTACATTTGTATTTAATATTTCAAAATGCAATTATCTTGATGCATAAATAAAAATAATACATCGAGTTTCAATTGAATTTTAATTAGATTTTATCTTCTTAATGCATTGGAAAAAGTGTTGCCTTTTTTTTTGAAGCAAAATTCAATTAATATATCTTTTGTGGATAAGTAAAATACGCACTTCCGATTTGACATTTTGAAAAGTCGTGATACTTGTACAAAAATTTTATTAGTTCATACGGCGTATGATGCATTACGCCATGAAGTAATAAAATTATTATAGAAGTGTTATGACGTTTCAAAATGTCGTATTAGGTCCACCTCGAATAATTAACATCAATTATTTTTCATGTAAGTCACATTTTGATTTTAATCAAGTTATATTTATATTTTTTGGAAGTGATAAAATACAATTTTTTTTATTATTTTATATATTGTATGGGTATTTGAATTTTTTTTATTAATGATTTTTCTTTTCATTTTAGGTGGTTTAAGTTATAAAGCATACACCGGTCACGATGGCCTTGCGGAAAAAAGAAAACAACGTCGGATACGAACGACATTTTCGTCTGCGCAACTCAAAGAACTCGAGCGTGCCTTTCAGGAAACGCACTATCCTGACATCTATACTAGAGAAGAGATAGCAATGAAAATTGATTTAACGGAAGCCAGAGTACAGGTACGTGAATCGCTCTAAATATTAATGATCAAAAAAAAATTTAATATCCTTAACAATATTTATTCTGGCGTGCCAAAACTGAAATACGTGCAACTTGTTTTGTAGGTTATGTTGCCTATTATGTTTCCTTTTTTTTAAATATGGTGATTAAAAAATTCGAGAAAATTTGATTCACATTGAAAGGTAGAAATAATTACATAATGTGTAACATTTAAAAAATAATTCTTGTCAACTACTGCACCCTGCTCTAGGGAAAATTTAGTGACTTTATTGTTAAAAGTAAAAGTTACTATAGAGTTACTAAATTTTCACTAGAGCAGGATGCGGTAGTTGAAGAGAATTATTATAAATATGGCGAGTGGTGACAATGGAAACCAACCTTTATGGTATTTCAGTTTTGCATCAGCAGATATATATTATTGTCTTTGTATAAATACTGTTCTTCCAGTTTGACGAAATTTTGAAAAGTTGTGACATTTTTATAATTATTTTATTCCTTCGGTTGGTTGCCATTGTCCCCACTCGCCATTTGTCATAATTGTCGTCAGCTACCGCACCCTGCTCTAGTGAAAATTTAGTGACTTTATTGTTAAAATTAAAAATTACTATAAAGTCACTAAAGGTTGGTTTCCATTGTCCCCACTTGCCATTTGTCGTAATTCTCGACAACTACCGCACCCTGCTCTAATGAAAATTTAGTAACTTTTAATTTTTAAATATAAAGATAGTAAATTTTTATTATAGCAGGGTGCGGTAGCTGACGAGAATTATGACAAATGGCGAGTGGGGAAAATGGCAACCAATCGTTCGAGGTGTATAATTTAAGGCCAACGCACAATAGATTCGCGAACATTATATAGGCATAAAATAGAAAAAGATAGGAATATACATGTATCTTTTTCTATCTCATGTAGCATGTTTGCGAAAATATTGTGCATTGGCCTTAAACTATACGCCACGAACTAGTAAAATTATTGTAGAAGTGTCACGACTTTTCAAAATGCCGTCAAACCGAAAGGACAATATTTATTAAATTAGGTGTGTCTAGTATATGTGACGCGCTCTAATGAAAGGAAAGCAAAAAAATTTTAGGTTATGTTTATGATAGTTTTAAATAAATATCTAAACAAGGGGGAAATCAACTTTTAATACAAAATATTGACTATTGCATCGAAAATAAAAACTGATTTTATATTATTAAAAAGGAACTCTTAATTAGGGTATAACTATCATAAACATAACCTAAAATTTTACTTCTTGCCTCATTATATTATAAAAATAAAAAAAATAAAATACAACAAAATATAATTTTGAAAAAAAATTTAAATATATGAAATATAATAAATTTTTTTAAAAATAGTTCTACTTTTTTTTTTGTTATTGCACACAATTTATAAGGTGAAATATTTGTTGCGGTGACACAAGTCTCGTAAAATAAAAGTCAGTATAACTTTGCACGCTGTTTATAAATATCAGACACACTTCTTGAAAATCTTGTGCATTTTTGAAGTTTGATTCTTTTTTGCGGTTATTCTCTCTCTCTCTCTCTCTCTTTCTCTCTCTTTCTCCCGACAATGAGAGAGAGAGAGACTCAGACATTTCCTTCCTCAAGGGGGGTATATAATTTAATTGCGCGCGTCCCTTCTTCTTTCGTATGGCCACCTGCAGTCGCGCGACCTGATGGATTACATAGCCTTGTACACTTGACGGATTATCGTAAATTTCTCGGTGCGCGCAAAAGAAGGGGACGACGCGACTTGCGCTTGCGAAAGAAGATACGTGAAGGAACTTTTAGTAATTCATAGGCCAAATATAGATACATCCAAGAAAAGTGCTTCTTAAATTGAACTTTCCATTCCCTTCTTTTTTTTTTTTATATCTCCCTTCTATACTTTTTTCTTCTCTCTAACTTTGCGTCCTTTCTCTCCTTTTATTCTTTTAAATATTAAAAATACAAAACTTTTTAATGTTATTATTCTCAAACAACGAATGGATATACTATATTCTTTTTAACTTTAGATTATTGGAATGACAATTTTTCTTTCTTGTCAATTAACATTTTTTTGGTACCAAAGAATACAGCCGTATAGGAAAACCATTATTGGGATTATTGGGTTCATTATGTATTTGTTTGTTATATATATTAGGGTGAAATAAATGTTTTCTTTAATTTAAAGAAAACTTTCTTTTTTGAATATTAAAAAAATACCCACTTCTTCGATTTGAAGAAACCTATGTTTTTTAACGTAACATAATGTGAAATGACGTAAAAATAGATAATTGGATATATTCACGTTATTTTTACGAGGTGAAATCGTCTAAAGGCACTTCTTTTCACGGCGTGAAAATAGACATTTGGCTATAGTCACGTCTTTTCACGACGTGAAAATAGATTCAAACATAACCTTAAACTTCAAGATCCTAGGTCTCTAGGAGGCACAGTGGGCCAGAAGGCGTTCAAAACTGGCCAAAAGTCAAGGTTTAAATTGATAGATGACAATTATGTAATCATTTTCAGAGATAGATTTGCTACGAATATCCAAAATATTTTGTCAAATAATACATTATTGTATTAGCACTACTCGATTACATCTTCAATTTTCAAAATTTTTGTTTTACCTTTTATACACCAAAATATGTCTGTTTTAATTATTTTTATTTGGATTTTTAGGTTCTAAACATAAATTTTCTACTAATCAACATCAATAGATCTAAAATTAACAATTAAATCAAACAGTTACATATTCAGTTGTTTTGATTAGACATTATTTTCTTTTCTTTGTTGCTGTCTTAAATGACATGTTTCATTTCCGAATGACTTTTCCCCTAGTTTCCGCTTCCTATAAAGTCGGTCAAGGTCTCTAAAAGCACTCTTTGAAACGCATAGTTTAAAATAGATGTGCTACTTTTGTCGTAAAAGTTAAAAAATTTCCAAAATATTCCATGCTACTAGTGGACACTGCATAGTGTGATCATGAGATTATACTGTCTTTTTAAACCTTTAGGGGTGAAGTCGTATTGTTTTTTAAGATAAATTAATATGTTATTTTAAATTATATTAGCTTAAAGGTTATTAAGTAACTATTATTTGATACAAATAAATTATTATAATGTAAATATACCTTGCTCCGGTATACTACTAATAAAATCGTTTACGTATAGTATACTGACGAGCTTCAACTAAAGCGAAAAAGAAACTCAGCATACATTACCTATTACAATTTTTTAAATATGACTTTCGATTTATAAACATCAACTGTGAAAACCCCGAGTAACAAATTTCAGGCCATTTGAATCGATTTTTAAAGACATAGCCCGACATATTGGATCCGCCATTTTGAATTTTGAAAATCTGACTACAGATTCGTAATCAGCGACCCCGAAAACCCCCGAGTAACAAATTTCAGGTCATTTGGATCGGTTTTTAGAAAAGTCGTCCACCATATTGGATCCGCCATTTTGAATTTTGAAAATCTGACTAAAGATTCGTAATCAGCGACCCCGAAAACCCCCGAGTAACGAGTTTCAGGAACTTTTAAAGACATTTGGACTTTTGGCCAGTTTTGAACGCCTTCTGGCCCGCTGTGGGAGGGACGCATGAATATTCCCTTCATTAGACTTAACGGAATGTTTGTGGTGTCAAATTAAAAATTATCAAATTTACATTCAGTAGAATTTAAAAAAAAAGAGATTTTATAATGAGCCAAATTTTAATGTCGAAAAATGACTATTTAACAAAATTCTGATTTTATAGCATTTCTATTTAATTGGTCTGTGATAAAGATGATTTTCTAATATATATCGAATTTTCAAATAATACAATTTCCATTTTAAAAAATTGATATCTAGAAAAATTGTCATAAAAAAGAATTTTTATTTATCAGAATTGTTCTTCTGTCGAATTTCTATTTATTCGAATATTCACTTAAAAGTATTTTCATTAACAGAATTTTCAACTAAAAGAATTTGTATATAACAAATGATTCTTATTTAACAAAAGTTTTATTCAAAAATATTTCTATACAATATCTAATTTTTATTTAATAGAATTGTCATCTATCATAAATTCTTCTTAGCTAAATTTTTAAGACAGAGAATTTCTATTTCACCGATACTTAATTTGACCGAAGTTTCACTTATCTAAATTGTCATAAGATAGAAATGTTAAAACGTCGAATTTCCATTTGGTCAAACTTTCATATAACAGATTATCCACTTGGCATTGAAATTTTTAGCGGGAGTTTTAAAATCAACTAGTCACCATTTTCTTAATAATTTTTTGATTGGTTGATGTTAAAACTCCTGCTGAAATTTGTATATCAAGTGGATAATCTTATATATGAAAGTTTGATCAAATGGAAATTCGACGTTTTAACATTTCTATCTTATGACAATTCAGATAAGTGAAACTTCGGTCAAATTAAGTATCGGTTGAATAGAAATTCTCTGTCTTAAAAATTTAGCTATAAGAAGAATTTATGTTAGATGACAATTCTATTAAATAAAAATTACATATTGTATAGAAATTTTTTTGAATAAACCTTTTGTTAAATTAGAATTTTGTTATATAGAAATTCTTTTAGTTTGAAATTCTGTTAATAAAAATACTTTTAAGTAAATATTCGGATAAATAGAAATACGACAGAAGAACAATTCTGATAAATAAAAATTCTTTTTTATGGCAATTTTTCTAGATATCAATTTTGTTAAATGGAAATTGTATTATTTGAAAATTCGATATATATATTAGAAAATCATCTTTATCACAGACTAATTAAATAGAAATGCTATAAAATCAGAATTTTGTTAAATAGTAATTTTTCGATATTAAAATTTGGCTCATTATAAAATCTCTTTTTTAAAATTCTACTAACTGTAAATTTGATAATTTTTAATTTGACACTACAAAAATTCCGTCGACAAATATAACTTCAAATTCCCCTAACCAAAAAACGAACATAACCTCAAAATTTAGATAAAATTTTTATAATATTAATACT